CATGATATTACAAGAGACATCCAGTTTTTGAAACTATCTTCAGAATGTTTTAATCAGACAATGTTCCTTTGTTGTAAACAACTAAATGTCTACGTGTTTTGTTTCAAAGACATTGTATTGTTCACAGTGATTACAGAATATTTTTAAATTGCAAATAGTTCTGAACACTCATGCTTACAATGATCGAAATTGTTTTAATTCTTCTCTATTTAGTATAAGCCAAGGGCAGTGGGGTAGCCCAATAGTTAAAGCGTCCGCTCATCATGACGAAGATGACGATTCCCAAAATGGGTACAATGTGTAAAGCCTATTCCTGGTGTCCCCTGCTGTGATGTTGCTGGAATATGGCTAAAAGCAGCGCAAAACCATACTCACTCACTCACTAGTTCAAGCCATCTATCAGGACTCAAATTTAGAGGATTATCATAATTATCTTCAACACAATCGTTCATATCAGGCTGGGCCCCTGTGTAATCTCTCCCTCACTTACCGTCATGTGATTGAATTAGGATAGGATGAATATTGTTCTTGTGTTAATATGTGAAGAGAACCATTCAATTCATTTGGAGATAACGTATGCCATAAAGTGTTAAAGTTGTCATCACGTTTGTTAGCTGCATACAGTGATATATAACCAGCTGTTGCATTTCTGCATGGTATAACATCAGGCTCAAAACACATCAGTTGATTATATTTCGAACTTTATTGATTTCAGGAAGTCTTGCAAAAACGAAATTGACATTAAAACAGGAATGTAAATTAACACTCTCTTGAACATGAAGAATTTTCTGGGTTTATCTTTTTGTTGTTTAGTACAACGTTTCAGGGCATGTTCTGGACCCATCATCAGGTGGAACTACAGTACCGTAACTGTTAACTCTGCTTGTGATGTATGTTCATCAAATAACATCTTCAAAAATGCCAATCAAACATCTAACACACTCTTGTCAGGGGTGGAAATAACCCATTGCCCGACACCCGAGTCCAGTGTTTTTTTCTGTTGGGCAAGCAGATTTGTATATCACACTGTACCGGAGTCCAGTTGACTTTCCAATATTAATTATGTTGTTTATTTTAAAATCAACAAGAAAACAGCCGGTATAGTGGAAAAATTATCAGGGCAAGTGATTTTACATGTGCCACTGTTCCGGAGTACACTAGCAATTTTAAAGGTATTTTCACCCCTACATGTTCGTCTGGACCAGTTTTGTCATAGTGTAAGGTATCCTACAGGCGATGTGTTTTCAATTGATAGATGTTCTGGTTTAATTTTCATTCCTGGTGAAATAAGAAGGATAGGACAATGCTGTTTATTTATTATGAAGATCTGGGTTAGAACTGGTCTTCAGCAACCCATGCTTAATGTGAGAGGCAACTAACAGGATTGGTGGAAATGGTCGTTGACTTGGTTGATGCATGTCATTGTTTCCCAATTGCGTAGAGAGATGCTCATGAGGTCAGATCTCGTGAAAATCTGGGTTAGTGTCTTCAGGAACCCATGCCTGTCTTAAGAGGCGACTAACGGGTGGTCAGGCTCGCTGACTTGGTTGACACATGTCATCGTATCCCAGCTGTGTAGATCAATGCTCATGCTGTTAATCACTGGCTTGTCTGGTTCAGACTTAATTATGTATAGACTGATTTCATTAATGTGGACAATTAAAGATTTAACTGGAATACTGTTCAATTCAGCGTCAAAACCCCAACTCATTAACTTGCTCTGAATGAGATAAATTGTTGTTTTCAAGGTTTGTTATTTTTGAAAGAAATGAGACTTGGAAATTCAAAATTGTGGAAAAGCTGAGGCACTCAATTTACAGGGCTTTGCTTGTAGTTGCAGTGTTACCACATATATTATTATCATTGTATGTGAACATTTAGTAAGCATGGTCATTATGTATTCACCATGTCATCTAATGTGACAGAAAATTACCCCAAAACAGTGTTCATGAAAAAACAAAAACAAGTCCAAGGAAAGATAACTCTTAATTTCCAAACATGGCTGCTACTAGAAATTTATAATACAACACAAAATTCACATTAAGTAAGTTTATTATGTTGTTAACAAATATCACTAACAAGATAATTTTATAATCACGGAAATTTTAATTTTACAATGTGCGATTTGATCGGTTTGCCTTGATTCTTGGCAGTTATGGCGTACTATACAGGTACGAGTCTTGTAGTCACGGAAAGAGGCGAGTAGTTACGAATGTTTTATTTTCACCATGTACATGTCTGTTTTTCATGTGACAAAAACATTTTTGGTTGGAGTAAAATGTAACAGCACTTTCATAACCATACAACAATGCCATGTTTACTGCTTGAATTGAGGTCAAACTATCAGTTTAGTTTCTAGTTAATTTTGCATGTTTTATATATCATGTATGATCTGGTTTTTGGACTATGAGGCTTTAATGCTTGCATCAGTGTTATTAGTGGAGATTGGGATTTTAGTAATGTTGACAGTTTTCATACATGCTGCAGTATTTGAATGAAGGGATTCTTATCTTTGGTGAACACACAATGTTATTTAGAAATGGTCAAATGTAACATGTTATATTGGGTATTTCACTTTCTCAGTAAAGTACAGTACTTTTTTAGGTTGACTTCCGATGGAAGTCGGACAAGTGGTAGTCCAGATCACATACGTAATGTACCCCTTTGACTTGACTTTGTGTGCAGGCAATTAGGTGCCTGATTCTGAAGCGGCCTTCACATGTTGTCAAACTCGAGTTTGAGAGTATAAACATTCCAACAACTCGCCATCAACGCTAATTTCAGAATTGTCAAACTGTTGTCGAGAAATAGGACCGGTCTCTATTCTCACCACAAACTTCCCTCAAACTTTCAGTCGATGTTGATGTGTGAGGTGTTGTCAAACTCTTGTTGTTCTGAAACAACCAATAGCAGTTAACGTGATGTTTTGGTCGTGAACTCGACCTATGAAAGGCCGCACCGATAGAGACATAGCGCTCAAATGACACGAACGCGAGTTTGACAACTTTTAAAATTTTAACATGTGTTGTCAAGCATTAGTTTGCCACATGAAGGCCACTTAAGAATTTAGGTTAAAATCCTGGATGGGACTCACCCTAAATATTGCTAGAATTTGTACTTTACTGAGAAAGTGTAATCCCAAATATAATAAGTGTTTTTATCTTTGGTGTATAAACTAACAATCCTTATGCTGAAAGTTAAAGATCCCTTGATCGAAATACTATTGAAACTACCCGAGAATCCCTTGTAAATTTGAACACTGCCAAGACTTCCAATCTTGATTTACAAGGCTGGTTACTGTAGTTAATATACCCTAAATATCTGGCTCAACATATTCTTTAAACACTCATCATTTGTATGATGCTTTAGCTTCGTTGCTTAAGCAGCATTGCAGTTCCATTTCTTTTTTTAACACTGCCGCCAAATCTTCATGTCTCCTGATCATTGCTCATTATATGATGGCATAAGAAATCTCTACCTACCCTTGTGTATAATTAGGGCATATGATGTGAAACAGACGTTTGTATTTTATGATGGCTTCAGTTGTCATGTTTTTAAAAATAATTCATCTCTGTGCTAACAAGGTGAACTTAAAAGCAGTAAGAGACCCGTGAAGATCCGGTTTAGAATCGATCTTCAGTAACCCAGGCCTGTCGTAACAGGCGGCTAACAGGATCTGTTGGTCAGGCTTGCTGGCTTGGTTGACAGATATCATTGTATCCTAATTCCGTAAATTGATGGACATGCTGTTGATCACTGGATTGTCTGGCTCAGACTGGATTATTTACAGACCGCCGCCATATAGCTGGAATATTGCCAAGGGTGGTAAACAACTAACCAACCATAATCACTGTTATTATTATTACTATTATTGTGTATCATTACCAGATTAGGATGTGTACTAATATACAGGCATAGCATGCATGTGTACTTAATATATCTGTAACTTCTTTCTGGGTACAAATCTTATGTGCCATTTGTAATGTTCTGTAGAATCAGTTAATAATTATGGAGCTGTTTCCATCTATGAATATGTGCTCCTGTTAAATATAAGAAGTATCAAAGTGTGTTTACTAAAGTAGACGTTACACTTGAAAATGTTGAAGGTACTAGGGCTGCAACGATTCTGTTCGATTCATCGAAAATCAAATCTGACACCTTAGTTTCGATTTTCGATAACCATTATCACTATTTCGATTCGATATTTGAATACCTGTTTAAATTATTTCCACACAGCAGAACGAAACTTTGATTCCAACTTGAGCAGTTTCGAGTACTGAAAGAAGGCGGAACGTGATTGGTTGACGCCAGGCTAATTATCCAATGAGAATTGTTGTTAGTAGACATTGCAAAGTCATGGATTTAACTCTGTTAAATGAAATCTGATGTTTTTACTTGTAAGAATCGAATCCAATATAAAATGATTGAATCGAGTGTCCAATATTGAAAATGGAATCGAATCGAGGTCTGGGTGAATGGTTGCAGCCCTAGAAGGTGCCAGTTTATTTGCTTGAACAATGTGACTCACAGCTGAATTTTTATGCCTTTGATATAATTATTGAGTTGTATATCAGGACTCTGCTAGGTCCCAGCTGTGTTATCTTTTAGTATTTTATGTTTGCGTGTCAATATTCCGTGATTGCAGGAACTAATCTAATGGCTGGAATTTGTAACAAGAGGCATATATATACCATGTGCATCATGGCTTCAGGTTCCTCACCGGGTTCGAATCCCCACATGGGCACAATGTGTGAAGCCCATTTCTGGTGTCCCCCGCCGTGATGTTGCTGGAATATTGCTAAAAGCGGCGTAAAACCAAACTCAGTCAGCCAGTCAGTCAGGTTGCTCACTATTTTGTGTGTTTCCATTATTCATGGAAATAGAGTAGTACTTGTCGTTGTTGTGGAAACCTCACAAGCGGGCATTGATTAATGATTGTGTTCATTGTAGTGTACAAATCAATGCATTAGTTGTCACTGTGTGTGAATCTCTGTTTCCAGCTTCACATCGATGCAGGTCATTCTGACCCATCCCCAGTCTCCAAGGAAGTGGACTTTTTCAAGGAACATACAGAATTTAACTCTCGGGACACTCAGCCCAGTCCCATCAATGAGGAAGCAAGACTGTACTCTGAGCCCCAGCCCATCAAGAACGGCTCACTCAGCAGTAAAGGTAAGGACACTTTACACAGATGGTGAACATGCAAAGATCAGGGTTAGAATTGATCTTCAGTAACTCATACTTGTCGTAAGAGGCAACTAAAGGGATGGGGGTGGTCAGGCCTGTGACTTGGTTGACACGTCATTGTGTCCCAATTGCGTAGATTGATGCTCATGCTGTTGATCACTGGATTGTCTGTCCCAGGCTCAATTATTTACAGACCTCTGCCACATTGCTAATATATTGCAGAGTGCGGTGTTAAACAACAAACAAATACAACATAGTCTATTTCAAACAGCAGTCTATGATTAACTATGATTAAAATTATCATAAAATACTGACACCATATTGAAGTAGAATATTACTTGAAATTTGATTGAGTATTGTATAGTATTTCAGTCAGTTTTTTGTAAGCTGCTTTCAGTACCAAGCTGTCTGAAACTCAGACTCCATGTTTTGCCTTGAGCTAGTCATTTATCATCAAACTTCAAAGGTGATCTTGTTAAAATCAAATCCTGTGCATAGTTAAGCAATGTTGAGTGTGGCGAGTCTTTGGATGGGTGACCATGTTTGGCAGCTTGCCCCTTGAGAGTTTCTTGGACTTCTGTCCTGCCCCACAGCTTGCCCTCTGAGAGTTTCCTGGGCTTCTGCATATATGATACATGTGGGCTAGTAAGTTTGAACAAAATTGTTCACTGAGCAGAAAAATGGGTACCTGGTGGGATAAGTCATGTGACTGAAACCTAGCACCTAACAGGCAGCTTGGGTTATCTGGAGTAATAATGTGCTGTGCCTTGATTGTTAGCTCTATGAGCATACCTAGTGTGGAGTTTGGCGCTGTATAAATGAACACATTATTATTATTATTAAATCTGACCCCCTGACACTTTTCCTCATGATGATGTGATCACCTCAATAGAAGAACAATGATGACCTTTCTGATAAGCCAGTTAGCATCAAGGCTTAAAAATTCTCTGAATGATCGAGCGATTTCATGTTCACTGCATATTCAGGAGTAAGTTATTTTTAATGTATTCTCCTGTAAATTGTCAGAATGTGATATTTCATTCACTGATAAACCATAAGTTCTTGGAAGATTGAAAACATGATTGACAACTCATTACAGATCTAGAATGGGTAACAATATTCACTAAACTTCTAGGATGTTCAATCCACATTGAATACATGCACATAACTGGTCAGCATGACTCTCCAACATGGCTTGTGTGATGATTAGACAAGTGTGTATGTGGATTTTTTGTTGTTTCCAGCTGTGGAGATAGACCCCAATGAAGGGCCTAATGTTGAGGCCGCCCTCAGTATGTCCCCCACCCAGGCTGCTGCTATTGCTGAACCCAGGAAGGCAATCATTGGGGGAAAGAAGGCCCCTGCTGGGAAGAAGGGGGTGAGGCCTCTACACTGTTTTCATTGATTCTGTTCAGAAAAAAACATATTGATTATTGGTGTTCAATAGCATGATTAGTGTTACCTCAAGATCTTGAGTGGCCCATGATTTGATGATGTTGAAAACCTCAAGGATCATAAAGATCCTTTCTCCTGTTCTTCTTCTTCCTCACCTTTTCTCCTCTAAATCTCTCCATTTCTCCTCTCACCTTCTGCCTTTCTCCTCTCACTCTCACCTTTTCTCTTCTCACTCACCTTTTCTCCTCTCACCTTCCTCCTCTCGCCTCTCTCCCTCCCTCTCCATTTGTCTCTCCTTTTCCATCCTCCTCCACCCTCCTACTTTCTTCTCTGTACCTACCCAACTTTCAAGGATGCAAATTTTCAATAGCCTGTGATTAGCTAGTATGTCTGATATTAATAGCTTTTAGAGTTTTTATACTAAACTTGATCACTTCTTGTTAATGTTTATGATTAATATTCCACCCTGCTGTTGCCAGAAAGATGTAGGATACTTTACAGTTTGTGAGATATTTTTATGACATTATTGCCAACACCTGTCTGCTTTTGTCCTCATAACTTCATTTCCATGTTATCTATAGTGAAGACATTATTTGATTACTTTACACACCATCTTTTTCAAAATTCTAAAGCACTTCTAAAGCTAATTACTCAGGACACATACTGTGAACATCCTTTATATTACAGTCAATACCCTGGGGAGAAGCTATGCAATATCAAACTGATGAGCCTCATGTTCCATATAGTTCCATAACATAGCCAGATGATAGAAAAGATGGCAGCTTTTGTGTTCTGGTTATGGATAAAGCCGAGTGTCATCTTTCGATTGGTAGAGAAAGAAAATGACAGACTATGCATAATTCCCCAACATGTGTTGCTTCCTGATACACACAAGTGACAGCTTGGGTCATGGCTTGCACTGGGGAATTGTACATGTAGCTATTCTGGTATTGATTTCTTCAGTGTGGAAGTTTCTAAAGGGGAGGTAACTCTCAGCTACGTCTCTACTGAGCTGTTCTTTCATGTTATATTGTTGGTCCTATAATGAAGAAATTGTTTATAGCACAAATGGACATTTATTGAAGTCACTTGATAATGCTGAGTCTTCTTTTTATTTCATTCATATTAATCTACCATATTTCCCATATTATGCATGTTATGTTGTTTCTACTGTTCAAATTACAGAAGGGTTTTGGTGCCCAGCGAGTGAAGACCAACTTCAGTGAGATAGAGAACCGTGCCCAGCAGCTGGACAAAGAGAGGGAGGAGTTGGCCAAGGCTACTGCAGTGCAGGAGGCTCGCACCAAGGAGGAGCAGGACAAACAGGTGTAGGAGTAGGAGAGACAGATGTAGGTCTAGTAGGGGGTAGGGGTCACGCACCAAGGAGGAGCAGGACAAACAGATGTAGGTATAGTAGGGACGTAGGAGTAGGTGGGGTAGGGGTCAGGACTACCAGTACTAGGGGCCCAGGGTCTTCTTGGAATAGGTATTCATCTGCTGGGGTGGGGGAGCCTGGGGAACTGTTATGTCTTAGGCCTAGAACAATGTAGCGTTGGAAACTCCAATATCTACTGTCTGTTTCTCACAAAATGAGAACGATGATTTGCAACATAACTTAAAACGGTCTGTTATATATGAATGCGGTACACAGCAATGAATACTCTATACCCAACAATATCTGTTTGTTATTTGGGTACCCATCATAGAAAAAAAGTTGTTTAAGAAACTATCAAGTTGTTGAGTGTTGTCTTTCCTAGAGGGAGCACAATGGTAGGAGGAACAGCACAATCTTTATGCTTGCCTGCAAGACCATGGCTACTAAAACTGTCACCAAACTGGTGGAAACTTTCGTCTTATCTTTGTTTATGACAAGCGGGGACACAATGTGATTGTAAAGATGTTGAGGGTAGTGGTGGACCGATAAATTGAAATAATTGAAGATTGATCGCAGTGACTAAACGACCAAGCAATCGATCATGTTTTCTCATAATCGAACACAAACAATTCTGGAACACTTGTTTTCATTAACAGTATTTTTCACTAGGTTGGTTTTGTCTGTTACGTTTCATAAGCACTACAAGCTCGTTCTAAGTTATGACTGAATTTATCTTAAAGACTCTAAGAAATTTATGTTCCTCCATACTAGTCATCCTTTAAAGATGTGAAATTTTGCCAAAAAACCCCAAAGAACTACATGTTTTTTTCCCTTATTTTTGTGTGCATTAACACATTTCATAAATGACGCTAACCAATTATTTTCGATAATTGATCGGTTGTAATGAACCAATCATCAATTTTGAGATTTTAACCAATTCCCAACACTAGTTGAGGGGTGTCTTATTTCCTGCTGAAAGTGTCCAAAGGTCCACTACTTGCTGACTTGTGATGGTACGTCTTGCAGGGCCAGCATGAGACTCGCGTACAAAGACATGAGTCTACAAAGGCAGAAACAGGAGGAGAAGCTGAAGGCTGCCGACCCCAAGAAGGCCGAGCAGTTCGAGAGGCTGGGCATGGGGTTTGCTGGCAGCAAGTAAGTATTGCTGCAAGCATTGCATATGCATGTGTCCATATACTGATGGATTATTTGATGTAGTTACGGCAAGGTTTGTGTAATGACCAACTGATGTGATCATAAGGTTGTGTTTCTAAATCATAATGCATGCCATGTTTGATGAAGGGAATGCTGTCAAAGCCGCCAGCAGAGATGGTGTCTGTAGTATCTTTGGAAGAGATGGTGTCTTTGGTATCTTTGGAAGACATTATAGATTTCATTCAGAGAACATCCGATAATTGAATTGAAGACTTGGAGAAGGATGTTGATGTTATAATGACTGATATGGGCAGTGTTTGAATTAATGGGAAAAGATAATAGTTGTCATTTATTATTATTATTTATTATTGGATATATATCGCACATATCCACGCACTAATGCATGCTCAAGGCGCTGATGACTGACTGTCACCCTACCCAGATGATGGGTATTACAATGCTCTTACTATTGACCTTTAGCTCTGAATGGGTCCAGGGTGCTGTTGTACAAAACAACCTTAGTGCTAAGACTACCTTAAGTCTATGTTAAGGTATGGGAGTTACGGTCACCTTAGCGCTAAGACTACCTTAAGTCTATGTTAAGGTATGGGAGTTACGGTCACCTTAGCGCTAAGACTACCTTAAGTCTATGTTAAGGTATGGGAGTTACGGTCACCTTAGCGCTAAGACTACCTTAAGTCTATGTTAAGGTATGGGAGTTATGGTCACCTTAGCTAAGAGCTTAAGACTACCTCAAGTCCTATGTTAAGGTATGGGAGTTACGGTCACCTTAGCTAAGACTACCTTGAGTCTATGTTAAGGTATGGGAGTTACGGTCACCTTAGCGCTAAGACTACCTTAAGTCTATGTTAAGGTATGGGAGTTACGGTCACCTTAGTGCTAAGACTACCTTAAGTCTATGTTAAGGTATGGGAGTTCACGGTCACCTTAGCTAAGACTACCTTAAGTCTATGTTAAGGTATGGGAGTTCACGGTCACCTTAGCTAAGACTACCTTAAGTCTATGTTAAGGTATGGGAGCTCACGGTCACCTTAGCTAAGACTACCTTAAGTCTATGTTAAGGTATGGGAGCTATGGTTACCTTAAGCTAAGATCGCTTTGTACAACGGCACCCAGGAATCTCCTGCAGCAACTGCTTCATTACACGTTACTTTCACTCTTGTGTATTTGAAAACTTTCATATATCATCCATTCATTCAGTTGCATCTAAATGTAACATTCCATCCATATTTTGACTGACCTAATATTTTTTTACTGACAGGGAATTAGGATTAACATGAAGTTTCAGTGTCTCTCAGTCCAAATAGTTTGATATTTGGTGTTTTGTTGTATGAAGCTTTGTGTAACTGTTGACTGTCCTTTGTCTCCCAGAGGCATCAGTCACTCAGCCATCTCGGACATGCAGACTATACAACAGGAGGGATTGAAAGGAGTCGAGGAATGGCCGGAACAACCCGGCGCCGGGACTTCTTTGATGAGGAGATGGATATGATGGGAGGTCGATTCTCCTCCAGTTCCTCCAGGTAAGGTCACTGGATGTTTTGATGAAATGTCTGGATGATTGTTCAGCAACTGTGAATCTGTTTGTTTTGTGGAGTTGTCTCCGAGACCTGGAACCCAAGAATTCCTTAATTAATGTCTATCAGCATCTGGAGTTGTGGCTTCATTGAAAGCAAACACATTGACATAATGTGTTTCATTGGGACCTCATCACATGTTCTGTTGGTATGACATCCATGATATCATGTCCAACTTTATGATGAAACTGAAGTACTGTTGAAATTATTCACCTCAGCTTAGTGACTCACAAAAAACTTAGCAGAAGTTCCATCTGAGTTTGTATTGGTGTTGGTATTAATGGGTCAACTTTTGACTGGGATATTTCTGTATTTCCTAGTACATGTGACAGTGTTTTGATTATGGATGTTTAGTCCTCAAAGTGTTTTTGTTGTTGTTTTTGTTGTTTTTATAAAGGCCAAACCCATTTTATTTCTTGTTTAACGGATCTGCCATGGGTATTTTCTTAAGAAAAAATAGGAGGAAGACCAGATTTTTTCAATTTTTCCCGCTCAAAAATAAAATTTGAATGTCTTTATTGGCCAATGTAAACTTACGAGAAAATTGTTTTAGATCATGTTTTGCACTTCATAAAGTGCCAAAAGTAAATTTGATCATATATTATCTGCAGAATTAAAATTATAAACTATTTTTCGCAATGTAATTGAAAACAACGATTCTCGGACACATGCTTCGGGAGGCGGGTCCACAATAACATTGTCAAAGAGCAAAGAAATAACGATGTTTGAGGAAATGATTAAATAAGTAGAATAAACTAATGAATAAAATCAACAACAGCATTCATAAAAGTTGCCAAGCGTGCATATAAAATTACTTTTTCCATCTTTTTGTGCGATCATGTAATGCAAGTCAAGTCACTGACAAGTGACATCTCGCCTCGCCACCTCAATCTTCACACTCGGACCGCGATGTTTAATGCGAAAATATATGCATGAAGCATTTTTGTCACAGGTCATAACCTAGCACGATCGTCCAATAAGTCCATAATTTCACGTTATAGTAGCGATTTCTTGCTTAATATGTTCAGAATAGCATTATTTTACCCAAAACTTTTCGTCTAAATCTAAAAGTTTTCTTTTATGAGGACGGTATCCATTGCCGTAATATGATTGGCTGCCTTAGGTCCGTGTCTGATTTTGACCAATCCGACCCTTATAGCAGACTGTAGCGAAAAGCGTCATTAGAAACCAATTTTTATCCAATAAAATGCGCTTCTTACAACTGTGAAAATACTCGGCAAGGGTTCAGTGATGTTGTTGATGTTCAGAGCTTTGAGCGATACCCGGCATCAAGCGATTAAGCCTCCCATGTTATTCATCGGCGAAGCTGAAAGCGGAGGTATTTTCCGTTGTTATGTCATGTTACGGTGAGAAAGCCACAGATATCGGGAAATAGGCTGACCATACATATTATTTAAAGAAATCTTTTTATAATAATTTTCTGATTAAGTAAAAGTGAAAATATAAAAGAAAAGGCACGGGCATGTTATGACATGTCACAAATGGAAAAAAATCAGCCTTAGTTTTGCTTCTTTCATGGTTTATCTGGGCGTTATAAATGTAAGCTTGCATTTTCATTCAAAATAATTTTATTTAAGTTGTAGTGGTATTATTTGAATAATATTATAAAAATAAACTTCATATTTATCAACAGTAGGATTAGATCTTTTAAATGGTGTATGGGATGCAGTAGCAATAACGTTTTACAAGCTTATAATTTCCTTCACAAACATAGGCTTCATCTATGACCTCAGAGTCTCTGGGAACTTCGGTGTCATGGCAGTAAATGCCTCTGGTTGACTGGTGTTGAAAGAGTTAAAGAGGAATATTACTTTGACGCTGATTTTTATATTTTATTTTCCCTCCTGCCTTTAGGTTTCTGAGGACAAAAATCCATAAAACAAGAAATAAGATTGGTCTGGCCTAAGGCATCTTTAAAGGTCACATGCAGCGTAAAACACAAGACTACCTTAAGTCTATGTTTAGGTATGGGAGTTACGGTCACCTTAGCGCTAAGACTACCTTAAGTCTATGTTAAGGTATGGGAGTTACGGTCACCTTAGCGCTAAGACTACCTTAAGTCTATGTTAAGGTATGGGAGTTACGGTCACCTTAGCGCTAAGACTACCTTAAGTCTATGTTAAGGTATGGGAGTTACGGTCACCTTAGCGCTAAGACTACCTTAAGTCTATGTTAAGGTATGGGAGCTACGGTCACCTTAGCGCTAAGATTACCTTAAGTCTATGTTAAGGTATGGGAGCTATGGTTACCTTAGCGCTAAGATCGCTTTGTACAACGGCACCCAGGAATCTCCTGCAGCAACTGCTTCATTACACGTTACTTTCACTCTGGTGTATTTGAAAACTTTCATATATCATCCATTCATTCAGTTGCATCTAAATGTAACATTCCATCCATATTTTGACTGACCTAATATTTTTTACTGACAGGGAATTAGGATTAACATGAAGTTTCAGTGTCTCAGTCCAAATAGTTTGATATTTGGTGTTTTTGTTGTATGAAGCTTTGTGTAACTGTTGACTGTCCTTTGTCTCCCAGAGGCATCAGTCACTCAGCCATCTCTGACATGCAGACTATACAACAGGAGGGATTGAAGGAGTCGAGGAATGAGCGGAACAACCGGCGCCGGGACTTCTTTGATGAGGAGATGGATATGATGGGAGGTCGATTCTCCTCCAGTTCCTCCAGGTAAGGTCACTGGATGTTTTGATGAAATGTCTGGATGATTGTTCAGCAACTGTGAATCTGTTTGTTTTGTGGAGTTGTCTCCGAGACCTGGAACCCAAGAATTCCTTAATTAATGTCTATCAGCATCTGGAGTTGTGGCTTCATTGAAAGCAAACACATTGACATAATGTGTTTCATTGGGACCTCATCACATGTTCTGTTGGTATGACATCCATGATATCATGTCCAACTTTATGATGAAACTGAAGTACTGTTGAAATTATTCACCTCAGCTTAGTGACTCACAAAAAACTTAGCAGAAGTTCCATCTGAGTTTGTATTGGTGTTGGTATTAATGGGTCAACTTTTGACTGGGATATTTCTGTATTTCCAAAAAATAAAATTTGAATGTCTTTATTGGCCAATGTAAACTTACACGAAAAATTGTTTTAGATCGTGTTTTGCACTTCATTAAGTGCCAAAAGTAAATTTTTTAAGTATTTAAAAGGAATATTACTTTGACCGGTGAGTTTTTTAATTTTATTTTCCCTCCTGCCTTTAGGTTTTCCGAGGACAAAAATCCATAAAACAAGAAATAAGATTGGTCCGGCCTGAGGGATCTTTAAGTTAATAGCTAAGACAATCTCATATCCATTTCAGGTACGGCGACAGGTATGATGACAACTCATATGGTTCAAAGCGAGATGACTTCGGCAGCTGGGGGGAATCCTAACAAAGGTGGCAGTTGGGACATCGACAGGTTCGACAGCAAGTCAAGCAGTTCAGACAAGTTCTCTTCCAAGGATGAAGACAGGTGGATGTTTAGATATTAGTCAAGTCTTGTGGTTGAAAGTGTCTGCATAATGGTCTTGGCGTCTCCATGTGTTTTACAAAAATCAATGAAACATAGTCAAAAGTAGATATCTTTAAACAAATTTGTAAATATATACATTTTTATTTTGTATTAAAAAATTAACACTGAAAAAGAATTCTTTAGCTGCAGTTGTTTATAGGAGAGCACGAAAAATTGTGTCGACATGTGATAGGTTGATTTACGAAAAATTGTGTCGACATGTGATAGGTTGATTTACAAAAATTGTGTCGACATGTGATAGGTTGATTGTGTGACAGAAGTATGCTATGGTCACATCAAAAGTATGACATTCCAGTTCGGCTAACACAAGGATATTATATCACTATGCAAAGTGTCCCTTCATGAGCCAAAAAATGGTTGTGTGGCCAGGTCCCAGTGTGATCAAATCAAAGATATGTCTCTAAGTAATCCATTGTATATGAGCTTGCAAAGGTATCTTGTTTCCACTGTGGACAGATCTGGGTTCCTCAGAATCTCTGTTTCGTATGGATGTTGTTAAAGGTATGACTAGAATGGAGGAATAATGCACAAAGGCTTACTATCTAGTTTGATGGAAGTAGATTGAATTTCTCTTCACTATCTTCATTTTTCTCCATTGCCTGTTGATGCTCTCTGGGGATGTTAGGAAATAGGGGCGGTGGGGTAGCGTTGTGGTTAAAGTGTTGGCTCGTCACGCCGAAGATCCGGGTTCGAATCCCCACATGGGTACAATGTGTGAAGCCCATTTCTGGTGTCCCCGCCCGTGATGTTACTGGAATATTGCTTTAAGCGGCGTGAAACTAAAACTCAGTCAGTCAGTGAGTGTTAGGAAATATTTTGCATGAAGTAAATGTGATTTGATCAATTGGTATATATAGTACTCAACATTTTCTAATGATCCAAATAGTCACTATTTTGGTGCTTATGAAATGTGGAGTATTTGTTGGAGAAATGTTTGGAGTCAGTTGCTATCAGTAGTTGATTGCCATATCCATAACATTGCAAGGCAGATGGGGTAAAGGGTGTTACGGGTATGTTTAGGTGCTGAGTTATGTCCCTTGGATGTTGCAGTACCCGATGATAATTAAATTAAATCTTAAATTCATCTTGTTATCAGTTGTGGTTGACAGCACCATTCCTGCACTCACAGAGTTTACAAAATGTCTTGGTGGTCAGTGATATTATTAGGCTATAATTCACTGTGTCCTCAGCCCTCAGATGTACTATTTACCTGTCAAATTCATCAACTCCACTTATGTCCATTTTAGTCTTCCCTATTTAAGTGACCATTCATGTAGTCCGGTCAACAGGGTTGTGTAGCAGAGATCATTTCCATTGCACTCAGACCTGTACAGTTAAGCAGCATCAGAACAAACCCCATACACCACCACCTGAGAGTTCATCATTGTATATAGCCCTCTGTATCTTGGATGTGTAGATGTGTGTTCTTAGTGTGTACTTGGTGTGTATTTCTATGTGTATTTATTTTCCAGGCACTTGTTCAACTCTCCGTGATAATGGTGCAATGAACATTCTTTCTGAAACTTCTTTACAATGATCTCTGATCTCGAGTTAAGGCGTTTGTACATTCAGGGATAGGAAGACCAAATCATTGATTATGTATATATTTGAGATTGATGAAAGGATTATGAATGATATCACTGTTAGTATAAATCATGTTCATCAAAGAGTTAGGGTAGTGTAAGTTGGCTGGAGTTAAAATGTTATGTGTAAAGGCTGTGTTTTATGAAATGTTTAGCTGTAGTTTGGCTGTCTTTTTACTGTGTAATTTTATCGGGTTATGAAAAATTATAAAGATAATATCTGTGTACCAATTTCCAAAAGAGATCCTTGGAATCACTCTCCATTTGTTACACCTTTGAAAAATACTAAGCCTACTATACATGCATCGTACATTGCACAGCTGATGCAGTCTAAGTCTTTTGATGGATCTAGTCTCCAGTGATTAGTGAGGATCTTCAGAACAAACTGACGATGCAGTTTTGTGTGTGGTAATTGCTACAGGTAGATTCTCACTCATTGATGTGTAATTCAAGACAGTTGTTAGACTCACAGAGTTGCGTTTTATTCCAAAACGATTTTCCCTTTTTAATCCTTTTGAAGACAGCCAGCAGTAATCATTTGTCCATTCCTGTTTAATGTACAGTAGGTATTTGTCTGTGAGCTCGAGGAACTGTGAGTGTTAAGGTTTACAGATAGCGTGTGAGCATTTGAAAAATTTACTGCCTTTTCCCAGGGATAATACTGGATGTTGGAGTTCTGGAGTTTCGAGGCGACTTCTTATACTTATAAAGAGTATGCACTCTTTTACTCCTTTTGTCTAGCCCTGGTCCCTTTGCACAAAGTAATCTTTGTGTTAGGATGGTCATAGTTCGGACTTACAACCATTGTAGTGCTGAGATTACTCTGTGGCATGGGAACCGGGACAACAGCTGCTATTTTTTCTCAACACTCCGATATTTCCAATATTTCTAAGCTTTAATTCTAGTCTTGTCTTTAACGTGTTCATCTTTTTAATTACAGATAGTATCAGTTGTAATAGATGTATCATACCTCGTCATTACGTGTTGTACAAGAAAATGTGCAGGTGGGCTCTGTCACAGACAGTGTTCACAGAATCAATGGTTTCTTAATGATGCTCACTTGAAGTTCAAAACATTTGATATAAACATTGAGGATTATGTTGCAAAGCAATCCTGGAAAACCTTTTGCCATAAGTCTACTCCACCTGAGATTTATCTAGACTGTTCTTCCAGGATTGGTTTAGACGAAGCCTCTGTTAGTAGAACGGTTTTATATATATTATGTCTTGTAATTTGCAAGCATTCTTATTGTGATATGCCTGTTATCGATTTATAATAAAGCTTGTGCTAAGGGGAGGAATATACATTTATTTCTTTGTAATTTACCATGACATACCTGTTAATTTGGTTCAGTTTACAATGAGTTCCTGTATCTTTAACTGTACAGCTTCATCTTATTGATGTACGACTTTGTTGCTTGACAAGGCTGTTCTAGAAGCAGATTTGCTGTCCATTCTCAACATGCTAGGATTTGTACTTCTTTCATTCCAAATTAATTTCACGTTTAGTTGAAATGATTTTGAACTCAAGTGCGAATAAGACCACCTTTTTGTATGTCTTTTATAAGCAGTTTTTACCAGTAAAGATATTTTGTTTATATTTTATCATGAAATAAAGTCTTCTCGAAACAAGAACTTCTAAGGCCTCTTAGTTGTTTTTTCCCTGTTAGAATGAGAGAGGTTTTCTAGATCAGCCTTGTTACGGTTACCTAAATGCAGTGACACTAACAGAGTGTATTCCTGGGGAGGTTACCAGTAGTGTTTCTAAAGGTCAAGGTTGCACTGAAATTAATTACAACCTCACAGCTGCAAAGGTCACCCTACCATTGTAAAACTATCACAACAGCAAAAACACACGTAACAGTCACCCATAGCATTTTTTGGGTGTTCCCAGTCATTTATGAAACAATATATTTAATTATTAAATTTTATTATATCATGTACTGTTCAATTATATATTCACTTATCAAATATCACAAATATCTCACAATTAAGATAATAAAAGATAATATGATCTGTCAATCACAGGAAACTTGGTCAAAGGTCCGCTGTTTTCCTCCATCAAACAAACTTTCTCCATCATAAGATATTGCTGTATTCTGTGCCCAACTGCATGGTTGTTTAATATCTTACAATCTTTGTTTATGTCATGGTTTTTACAAAGACAATGTAATGTGTATTTGGTTGGTAGTAAGTTTGAACTTGCAGCAGATCTGTTGAAATGTCCAAAAATAAATTCAAATATATACAAATTTGACTATGAACATGTCAGGCTCATCAGAATCTGATCTTTTGCTAACAATACTCTTCGATGTGAAGATCTGACAGTTCTTCTGTGGATCACGAGCAAACTGTGGGCACCCTATCTAAATTGATGATTCTTGAGCCAATATCGGATGTCAGCTTTCTAAGATGTTTCAGTTTCTGTTCCAACCTTCATCTGTTCATTCAGTAATTTTTATTTTAACAAAGATGAAAAAAACCAACCCAAATGAACACAGATATTCCTTTGATTGTACTCTTTTGGATTTAGATGCCATGGTGCTCAAGAAAGACGTAAAAGTTCGTTCCCCAAAAATGTTCCCATTTCTGGTGTCCCCCTACCGCGGATATTGCTGGAATATTGCTAAAAGCGAAAACTAAACTTCAGTCAGTCAGTACTCTTTTGGATTTAGATGCCATGGTGCTCCTGGAGAAAGACGTAAAAGTTCGTCCTTTATCATTTACATTCGAAAATGGCCAATAAAGTTTGGTTGAGATACGCAGATCAGATATGCCAGTAAACTTTGGTCATCATACCAAGAATTGAGTAGCTTTAATGCTAATTAGCTGATGAGAAATTTGAGCTGATGTAGTCTTATGTGCTTGTTGGATCTCATCAGATCTTGACACCAAGTTATATTTTAGATTAAAGGTCAGATTTCAGTGAGATTTTAACTTGATGAAGAAACATGAGTTCATAGGAGAACAAAACATCACTACACACCCCACAAATATTTAAATTGTGTGTGCACTTCTATTGCGCTAACTTCCACACACAAGGTGTATGCTCGCATTAACATAACCCCAGTCAGTGGACCAATTCCCACTGCAACCTATGCTACCTCATTGTGAAAGATCTGCTAATAGTTTTGAGTGAGTTTGATTTAAATCACATCGGCAGTATTTCAGCCATGATGTAGGTCCGCTAATATGATTAATGATATAATTAGGATTATGTAGTACCATGTTATATGCTGTTGTGTACCTGTCTTGCATGCTGACTGATTTCTTTACAAGCTATCATGATAACGAAGATGACGAGGAGAATGGGTAAATATCACACAGTTGGTGTGCTTCATTATGGCTCTTTATCATATATATTACACACATATTTACTTGGTGGTTGCTGGGTTCTTCACTTGCTTGTCTTCTAGAAATCTGCAGTTACTCACACTGAAGGGTTTGCTGTCATGTCTACAGACCTTTATGCCTGAACAATGATTGAAATACACGACAGCTTAGCTTCTTTGAGTGGCAGGGCGGTGGGGTAGCCTAGTGGTTAAAGCGTTCGCTCGTCACGCTTTAAACCTGGGTACGATTCCCCACATGGGTACAATGTGTGAAGCCCATTTCTGGTGTCCCCTGCCGTGATGTTGCTGGAATATTGCTAAAAGCGGTGTAAAACTAAACTCACTTATTCACTCTTTGAGTGGTATTTAAAAGCCGGTATGACGAAGAGGAACAAATGTTATAAATTGGCAACTTCTTTAATGCAATAGATATGTCATTTTGGTGTAATTGCCAACTCTGTTATCAAGCAAGTGATAGATACAGTGTTACCATATAGACCGAAATGTTGTATCTGTTTAAAAAAAAAGAAGTCAGTCCATAAAATTTATGAAATTTGTTACTCTTCTCAGATTAGCTTGTCCATTCTACAGTCACCGAACTACATAGGAACTGTGCTGTGAAGTCTTTCCTGCAGAACGGCATAGACTTGTCTTGGAGACTGTGTAGTACAATGCCACACCACGATGCATTTTTGTATCGGTTAATGTACTGATACATCAGTGTAGATGGTTCCTGGTGTACCTGTATCCATAGTTACTTGGACAATGACCCCTTCAGTGTTATTTAGGGGTAGACACAACTGCTGGACCTCAAGTCACAGACAGTGATACACTTTAAATAACTAGCTCCCAAAGACTCTTGACTAGTTTGGTTAACTCATGGTGTCTACCCCTGTCATTATTAGTCTTTTGTTTTGCTGAATAGTCATTCATTTTTTTGTTTTGTTGATGTAGTTAGTTTGGAGTGCTCTGGAATTTAAAGATTTCACATCAGCCCATAAGGCAAAGAAAAATTAGCTGTCATAATATTCAAATGCTCATGGAGTTCCAAAAGCTATTCAGAACTGGATACAACCTTGCATATGTTTTTGGTTCTTATTCAACATGTATATCTGCTAAAATGTGGGTTAGATTTGGTCTTCAGCAACCTATCCTTGGCACAAAAACAACTGATGGGATAGGTCGGTCAATCTTACTGACTTGGAGGCATGCCATCACATCACAATTGCACAGATCAATGCTCATGCTGTTGATCACTGAATTGTCTGGTCCAAGGATTGATAAAGATGCTGTTGCCTCCACTGCAATGCAATCTGTCTGAATAGAATTGGCATAATTTCTGCTGCTTATGGTTACATATATACTTTTGTGTGCTGTGACACCATCTGACATACACCTGACACATCTTATAGAAGTGATTTTTATAGAACAAAATACTGCATTACTGTTTCATTTACTTTCTACTTTCACTTTTCAATATATTCATGGTATTTACTTACTTTTCAATATATTTACAGTATTTACCTACACTTTTCAATATATTTACAGTATTTACCTACACTTGTCAATATATTTACAGTATTTACTTACACTTTTCAATATATTTACAGTATTTACTTACACTTTTCAATGTATTTACAGTATTTACTTACACTTTTCAATATATTTACTAGGCGGTGGGGTAGCCTAGTGGTTAAAGCGTTTGCCTGTCACTCCGAAGACCTGGGTTCAATTCCCCATATGGGTACAATGTGTGAAGCCTATTTCTGGTGTCCCCTGCTGTGATGTTGCTGGAATATTGCTAAAAGCGGCGTAAAACTTAATTCACTCTCTCTTTCAATATATTTACTATGTTCACTTACACTTGTCGATACATTTACAGTATTTACTTACACTTTTCAATATATGTACTATGTTTCCTTACACATGTGAATATATTTACAGACTTTACGTACACTTATCAGTATACTCGTGATATTGTCTTACATTTTTCAATATATTCACAGCACTTGTATATATTGACCTACACTTGTCAATATATTTACAGTATTTACTTACACTTGTCAATATTTTCAGTGTATAAATCATAAATCCACAGCACAATAACAGACCTATTTTCACGATAAACAAGAAAGACCTCCATCACATGCATCACCTTTGGTGCTCCCTCAGTAAGATGATGAGTCAATTATGAATCAATTACTTTTCAAAGCAACACTAAACCACCCTCATTCTTACACTCAATGGAATGGACGAGAAGCTACACATCATATTTATCTAGACCTGCTATGAGGCTGATCTTTAGCCACAAGTCTGAGGCAGATGTCAACATCACTTCCCAAATTGGAGTTTAAAACTTCCCTATTTATGTTATTAGAACTAATATCATCTCTGTTGATGTGGTTTGTATTCCACTGATAACAAGTCCAATAAGGGGGAAGAGGCATTCCTGTATTGAAAAAAGCCTTATAACAAGAGCAAAATGTTGTTTCCCAGTATGCCGGCCAATGGTGAGTCGTTATGAGTCCTAAATAAATCTCTATGATGACGGGGATTGTGATGAGAGCACTTGTACATACTGGACAGAGTTGCATCCCTGGCTGTTCCAGGATCTGCTTCTAAACGGCTTTAATCTGATTTGCCATTACTATAATCACATAAGTGATAAGCTTTTACCTGTGTCACATCAAAATGGCATTGAACTCACTCAGTATATGCTTCTAACCCTGGATTGGAATATCAGTGATTACCCTGTAATGTCAGCCATTAGAAAGTAAGAATTCTAGGAGTTAATGATAGGTCCACAGAACCTAGATCATACTTTATATGGTCTGAGTCTTCAACTGATGACAAGCCTCTCATCCTGACAATGGCTACATACTCTTTTGTAGTAAGGTGGTCAGGCTTGAATTGCTGACTTCATTGATGCATGTGATTGTTCCAGTTGTGTAGATCAATGCTTACAATGTCAGTCACTAACTTCTCTGATCCAGGGGCGGTGGGGTAGCCTAGTGGTCAAAGCGTTGGCTTGTCACGCCGAAGACCCGGGTTCGAATCCCACATGGGTGCAATGTGTGAAGCCCATTTCTGGTGTCCCCCGCCGTGATGTTGCTGGAATATTGCTAAAAGCGGCGTAAAACCAGTCAGTCTCTGATCCAGACTTGATAGCTGACAAGCATCTTACAGTTGGAATATTGCTGAGTGTTCTGTCAAACAACAAACAATCTGTAACTCAGCCAGACAAAAGTTCCAAATGAACATGTGACATGTAAAGTAACCTGTCTGCCCAACCATTCTCAAGGGGCGGTGGGGGTAGCCTAGTGGTTCAAGCGTTCGTTCATCAAATCGAAGACCCGGATTCGATTCCCCACATGGGTGCAATGTGTCAAGCCCATTTCTGGTGTCCCCAATATTGCTGGAATATTGCTAAAAGCGGCGTTAAACTAAACTCACTCACTCAACCATTCTCAGTCCCGGACATTTGACTCATCATTGAACTGGCTGACGAGAGGAGCTTGAATCTTTACGAGGTTGTGAAGAATATGATTGGACAAATAGTTAGGGCTAACACTCTTGAGCTGTTTAGCTGTCCCTTCCTGTTTTCACTTACAGCGCTTCCTTGCCAATCTTGGATGCAATAGACTTTCCCCACCTCAAAGTACAATGCATCTCAACAATGCTGAGCCCATTTCTGGTGTCCCCTATCATGGTACAGCTAGGATATTGTTTATAGAAACTGACTCACTCACTCACCCAAACACCAGCACACTCACACATGCACTCATGCACTCATGCACGGACTCTTACTTAGCACTCAATACCGGTAAAATGGTTTCCAAATACCAGCACTCATGCATTGAAGCACTGGTGCCATTGTACAAAGCGTTCTTGGTGCTAAGGTGATCGTAACTCGCATACCTTAACATAGACTCACGGCACTCTTAGGCGTTAAGGTTGCTTTGTACAACAGGGCCCTGGGCTCTTACTTAGCACTCAATGCAGGTAAAATAGGTTCCAAATACGTGCACTCATGCACTCATGCACTCATGCACTCAAGCACATGCTCATTCAAACACTCAAGCATTGACACTTACTTCAGCAATCAATACAGTACAAATGGGTTCCAGTATACTAACAGGCATATTTTTCAGCTGGGCACCATGATGCACAACCATCAGTTCCTTCCACAAGATGTCCCAATGGTATAGGGTTGGGAAAGTTTTATATGTCGGTGAATCCCTGTTACACTTACACTGTTGTCTTTGAGTCAGATATGTGAACATAACTCATCATCAAAAGGGAGTGGCGGGGTAGTCTAGTGGTTAAAAGCATTTGCTCATCACGCCAAAACCTGAGTTCGATTCCCCACATGGGTTCAGTATGTGAAGCCCATTTCTGGTGTCCCCTCTTTGATATTGCTGGAATATTGCTAAAAGCAGAGTGAAAATAAACTTTCATCAAAAGATTCTGGCATGAAACAACCACATGCCTGCCATTGTGGACGGAGTACAAAGCTTGACACTGAGTGACTGTTGTCTTGTGTTTCAGGCCTCAGAGGAGCAGCAAGAAGACATACAGTGAAACATCCTCATCCTCATCCTCTTCCAAGTCTTCAGCAGATGCTCAGAAGAGATTTGGTAATTCCAAGGCCATATCCTCAGACCAGTATTTCGGCAATAACGATATGGATGTAAGTTCTGAATATTTGATATGTCATCCTAACTAGTGATTGTGGCCTTAGTTTACAGGGGTGGAAATAACCCATTGCCCGACGCCCGAGTCCAGTGTTTTTTTCTGTCGGGCAAGCAAATTTGTATATCACACTGTACGGGTGTCCAGTTGATATTCCAATGTTAATTATGTTGTTTATTTAAAAAATCAACAAGAAAACGGCCGGTATAGTGGAAAAAGTATCAGGGCAAGTGATTTTACATGTGCCACTGTACCGGAGTACACTAGCAATTTTAAAGTTACTTCCACCCCTGGTTTAGTGCCTGGTCTGTTTGCGTTTTCTTGAAACTTTGATTCTTTGTTTTCAGCAGCAGTATTCATTTCTAATATTTGTGTTTGTCTGTTGTTCATCCTTTATTTTTGGTTAAAACTCTTCAAGAAGGCTGGTCACCATCTTCCAATTAACAGAATAGTCTGATATCAGAATATATTCTCTCTGCTCTTTGCTAGATTATATTAAAAGTAGCGCTTTGAAGGTTTAAAACTTTGAAATGTTTATAATATGAATTTTGCTAAGAATCACTGAAATGACTCATCAAGTGCTGGTTTTTTACTTAGAAAGCTATTGCACTGACTTGTGTATTTAATTACAGAATACTTGTTACATAATTCTGTGATGCAATGTAAGTGAATTAGTACTAATTAAATCATCCAATTTTGGTCAGCTTCCTCACCTAAATTCACATACATATGTGAAGACTTCTTCATAGCTCAGTACCTCCGGGTTAGAATAGGTCTTCAGCAACCCAGATTGTCGTAAGAGGCGACTAACGGGATCTGGTGGTCAGGCTCGCTGACTTGGTTGACACAAGTAGATAGATGCACATGCTGTTGATCACTGGATTGTCTGGTCAGACTCGATTATTTACAGACTGCCGTCACACAAACAAATAAAATAGCTCAGTAAATACACCGGTATGTGAAACCTGCTTAAAATCCCACCCAAAAGCTCTTGCTGATATTATCCAGAACTCCTATTCACCTGAAAGACTGTTCAAGCTGAAAATCAGAATGCTCTTTCAGTTTGAAGTTCGCCAGAATCTGAGCCGCCTTGATGGGAAGTCTAGTATATCTAGTGACGATGTGTTCGGGAGGTCGGACAAGGGGTCCTCCCGAGGGGGTTCCAGCTCTCAGTACTACGCCTCCCCAGACCTCCAGGATATCCGCGACGGCGTCAAGCAAGGAGTAACCAAAGTTGCCGGCAAAATATCCAATCTAGCAAATGGTGTTTTAAGTTCATTGCAGGTGGGTGATCAGTGATTGTTAGTTTCTAATTTGTTGTAAAATGTGTATGCAGTGTAAACTTGCTCTTAGACGAAGTTAGAGTCTTAGCAAGAGTAGGGGTGGTGGGTAGCCTAGTCGTTGAAGGGTTCGCTCATCACACTTAAGATCCGGGTTTGATTACCTAATGTATGAAGCCCATTTCTCATGTCCCTTGCCATGATATTGCTGGAATTTTGCTAGAACGGTGTAAAACTAAAGGCACTCTCAGAAAGTGTAACAAGTTATTTGTGTAATTAGGTTCAAGTATACCAGGGGCGGTGGGGTAGCCTAGTGGTCAAAGCGTTGGCTCGTCACGCCGAAGACCCGGGTTCGAATCCCCACATGGGTACAATGTGTGAAGCCCAATTCTGGTGTCCCCGCCGTGATGTTGCTGGAATATTGCTAAAAGCGGCGTAAAACCGAACTCAGTCAGTCAGTCAGTCAAGTATACCACCCAGTTGCTTTGGTATATATGCCTCTTAAACCAACACATTAGAGTCAGTTTGAAAGAGCATTTCATTTTGATGGTGTTAGAATGTATTGGATACTAAGTATTGATTTTCAACACTTTTGGTCAGCATAGTGAAGGCCTTACATAAATAGCTTATTGTTTTGGTAAGTAAAAACTGAGTGAACATTTGACACAATGACATATCTGAAATAATATCTCAATGGTTAGGTATGTTGTCAGGGATATATCTAGGTATCTCAGAGGCTGACATTTGGCCCCAATCCTACAACAAATGTCAGTAAAATTTCCAATTTGGAAATACATGTTTCCAAGGTGATGTTTGGTAATTACTGATGTTACTATTTTGTAGAAGTTACTTGTATTTCACTGAGAAGTTAAGAAATGCCAAGGAAATTTAAGTTCTGGATAAGTCCCTTATGGTGATCAGATGTGCATATTGTATTCTTGGCGAATCTGTTTTGTTCTTTTTGCTGATAGAGCTTTCATAGAATATTAGTTTTGTGGTAATGAGTAGATTTTGCCTGGGATGTATTTGAATCATAGTCATTTATCCTGCAAACTGAACCCTAGCGCCAAATCAAACCCGTAGTAGTTGATGTTGTGTTTGAAGTAACTGTGTGATACTTGATATGTTTTCATTTCAACTAGATGTGCAGTTTGTTCATTTTCAATTTCACCCTTTGCAGAGAAAATAACACATCACTAATGATTAGTGGTGAAGGTAATAGTATTATGTGGTTGATATATTTCATTTGTTTGGGTTTATATGTAAGTTTTGAATAATTCTCATCGATCATGTATTAAAAACCCTATTCTTTTATTTAACCATTCCTTCTTCATGTAAAGAAATTTATGATTATATAAAGAAGTTACATTAACACAAAATCTCAAAGTTTTCATGTTGTCATGACAACAGTTATTTATTTTGGCTTATTTAAATTATGCTAATATTTAAATCGGATAATTCATTTAGGAACAAGTCGAATCTTTTGGATGAACCAGAAGATTTTGATTGGAATTTCTTTTCAAGTTTTCAAGCTGTCTTGAAAATTAATAAATGATATCATGAGTTCACCTGATGAAGGGACCTGGAATGGTCTCGAAACGTTGTGAGAGAAATTAAAAAAGAAGTTTAATCCCTAAAAATATCTTGGCCATAAATGATATGTTGTTATTTGAAACTTACACATGCTTTCTAACCAGTGGGAATTTATTTTACAAAGGTGTTTTTTGATGTTTCTTGGTTAAAGGCTGGACATGTCTGTGCTTGTCTCGACCCTTGTCTAGTCAGAACATCTGTTGCTGAGTTTGGTGAATGTGACATCTTGTCTGGTGTTGCAATGTCAGATTTCTCGGAATACACTGTATGTCAACATTAGAAGGCTCTGAGGCCTGATATTCTTCTCATGCATGGTGGCTACGGATTATCGTTTTGTGAAGTGTACGCAAAGATTGTCTGGTTTAGTTATGTCCCTACCACAAAGCTGAAGACCGTTACTTCAGTATAAAGGAATCTGCCTAACATTAAGTTATAACTCTTGGCTGTACCAGGATCTGCTGCCTATGGATTTAAAAGAGATGCAGCAGGTGTAATTCTGGTATTATGTTCTGGATTTGTCATCGCCTGTGAGTCTCACCAGAGTGGTTAACGTCGCTTTCCTCCTACGTTAATCTTACATTATACACATGCATATAGAAACAATAGCGTATGTTCATAACGCGATGCTTAATATTTACAGATTGAACTAAGAAACAATATTTCTCCTATTCAAGTAGCTACCTCAACATTCGTTCTTCATCCTTTCGCAGAGTGGAAGGTCGCGGGTTCGATCCCTGACCGCGTTACCAAAACACGTTAAAATATGGTACTTGTTGGTCCCTGCCTGGCGCTCGGCATTAATGGGTACAACAAGGACTGGTCGGCTCGGAGTCAGTATAATGTGTCTGAGTTGGGTATTCATGCTTCACTGCGGTATGGTATCTCAGTGGGCTAGCACTATAAAACCAGCTTAAGTCTGGGCTAGTACAAGCAGACGCACATACACATACACACGCATGCACGTTGTCATATGAGCGAAATATTCTCAAGCACGACGATAAACCCAATTTCACCTCACCTCCTTCATCCTTTTTTGAAACAATTTAGATACCAATTTTTCTCTGTGCTCAACTTAAGCTGACAATAGTCACTCAATAGCAGTCTAAGTAAACATAGCCTCAGTATTATTCGTTACACTGCTGTACTGAGTCTAACAAACCCGAGTAGAAGGTTGCGTCAGCTAACCTTTGAGCAAACTATGACCGTCCAATCAAACGCGAGACGAGCTTATATTTCCGCAAGATGACATCCCTAGAATATTGATAAAAACGCTTTTTTCAGTGACTGTTTACTAATTGGGTCCTCCATGTGTATCATTCGGAAGCGATCGTGCAGAAAATAGCATTCGGAATCGTTAGAGTTTTTTAGGTAATGGTTCAAACGGTATGTGCGAATGTTAACTTTTGCAATTTGGTAAGCTGTGTTCTGATTGGTCAGTCCAAAAGGTTAGCTGATGCAACCTTCTACTAGGGTTTGTTACACTCAGTATAGCAGTGTAAGAAATAATACTGAGCCTAAGTTTACTTAGACTGCACTCAATAGCTGAGTTAATTCCGAAATGACTTAACATTTTAAGTCACTTATCGTTTCTTATCTCATCATCCAAAATCTGGAAGTAAATTAAATGTTTGTTTACTCGTCTTTAGCCAGATTCACCTGTCTGATCCTTGTGGGATTTAGCAAAGTGGTAAAAGTCTTTATACTGCTTGTTTGGTTTTGTCTCCCACCATACTGACCACCGTGTATAACTAGAATAGAGTCAGAGCAGGCTTAAGCCTTAACACTCTTGCTTCCTCACATTGTGACACGGGGACGAGGGGTTACAAGTTATTGTGCTGAGTTACCTACCTTAGATGAACCAGGTTCTGATGATCATGGGTTGATTCCCGTTGTTACATTAAATATTACACTTAGTCTTATGGGGGGCTCAAGAGGCCAGAATTTATCACTCTGATTATGATACTTGGTATGTTTGCACCTAACGCAAGCTTGTAGGTTCACACTCCATTATTTGCACCTAACACAAGTTTGTAGGTTCTGCCTCTGTCAGTTTGGCCAACCTCCTGCATTGTAATACTCACATGCTGTGAAATATATATCCTATACAAACTCACCAAGCTCACTCAGCACTGAAGTAGGGTATCAGTGACTTGTCTGTCAAAGATGCACGCTTTTATTCTCTAAGCTGCAACAATTTGTTGTCTAGAGTAACTTGGCCTTGCCAGGATCAGTTGATCATGTTGTTCAAACCTGGATTTGTCCAGCTTATGTTGCCCTCAATCAGTCTGCCAAATGCCAGTGACCATTGGTTTAACAAAAACACAATAGAAATAATATCAGACTTCTTTCCTTTCTCTCTTCCTGTGTTATTTTCTTCTGTCTTCCTGTCATAAAGAACTATGTATCTGAAATATTGTTTGAAGTTCTCGTCACCCTAACTGCAGAATCCTATTGAAGCAGATGAAAGTGGCATTGCTCTCTCTCTTGATGTTCACTGAAAGAGGTGTGCTTGCTTAAGAAGCTTATGTGAGGTTATATACATCTTGTATAGACCCGTGAAGAAACCGGGTTAGGTTTAGTCTTCAGGAACTCATGATTGCTGTAAAAGGTGACTAACGGGATCGGGTGGTCAGGCTTGCTGACTTGGTTGACACATGTCATCGAATTATCATTGTGCAGATTGATGCTACTCATGTTATTGATCACTGGATTGTCTGGTCCAGACTCGATTATTTACAGACCACCGCGATGTTGAGCAACAAACCAACATCCTCGTTTACATATAACCTGTGTTGGCTTGTCTGTATTCTGTTCATGCATGTGGGATTACTACTGCTTTGCTTTCAGCCTTCAATGTTTGTCTTTGTGAAGAAAAACCTCTCTTCACTGTTCAAGTTTGGGAATGTTGGATGTTTAGAGGATGTTTAATATTTCAGATTATATGAATTGCCAACATTCTTTCTGAAATATCTGCTTTTCAGTATGGTTGTTTTATCATGCAAAATCTATATTGATAATTCCATGATATTCTTGAAATTACTGCTAAACATTTATTATAAAGTATTTGTCAGAAATGCTGATCATTTTTACCATTTTGACAGGAAGCAAGTACATGTATGCACAAATGTAGAACAATTATGGTATTATTTGTCAGTAATGTGAGGGTCAGTTGTTAGAGAATGGTTGAAGGAGTGTTAGTGGCATCCATGGAAATGTTTAAAGTGACCTTCACACTGTAAACTAAAGTTTGACAACACATGTTGTCAAACTCGAGTTTTAGAGAGTGAAATTTCCAACAACTCGCCACTGACAGCAAGTTTATTTTAGAGTTGTCAAACTGTTGTCGAGAAATAGGATCGGTCTCAATCCTACCAACTTTTCCATTAAACTTTTGGTGTTGTCAAACTTGAGTTTGATGTGTGAACTGTTGTCAAACTGTGAAGCCCATTTCTGGTGTCCCCGCCATTGATTCTGGAATATTGCAACCAATCCAAACAGTCAGTCAAACTTGTTGTTCAGAAACAACCAATCACAGTCAAGAAACTTGTCACGTGATGTATTGGTCGTCTGGTCAACACGACCTACAAAAAATGGCATCACTCAAATGGCAGGAAAGTTTGACAACATGTGTTTGACGTGTGAAAACGCGAGTTTGACAACTTTTATGATTCTAACATGTGTTGTCAAACTTTAGTTTCCCGTGTGAAGGCTGCTTAAAACCACTGAAGTCTTGTTACTGCCTGTATTCAGTCTGGTAGTGGTATTTCTGTGTCATTAGAACACTTCTTTACTTCCTTCATCACTTACCCGTGAAGATCCAGGTTAGAATTGATCTTCAGCAACTCATACTTGTCGTAAGCGGATTCTGGGATAGGCTTGGTACCTGTAAGGAATCCCATTTTAGGAACTTGCCAAAATCATAATCAGGTTTACAATGTGTAACATGGCTTTTTGTGGTTGAGGCGTGGTGGGGTAGCGTAGTGGTTGAAGTGTTCGCATGTCACACAGAAGACCCTGGGTTCAATTCCCCATTGGGTACAATGTGTGAAGCCCATTTCTGGTGCGATATTGCTGTAATATTGCTAATAGTGGCCTACAACCACTATTGTGTGAGTGAGTGGATATCTGTTCATGCTATCAACCACTTGTTTGCATGGTCCAGACTTGATTATTTACAGACTGTCATGATACAACTGGAATACTGCTGAATTGGTGGGAAAAAACATTTCCATATTAACTTACAGATGAATTCGAGTAATATATTTGGGTATCCAAAATATCCCATATTTTGTAGCCTGTTAGTCTTATGTTTTGTTGTTTGTTGCAGGATCGCTATGGGAGTTAACCGATGTTGATGCTAAGCCAGGAATGTGTTTCATGCCTGCCAAGGACAACAGTGGCACTAACAGACAATGGTGACATGGCATTCACCTTTACATCAACCTCTCCAAGTGCAGGGAGGTGGAGGCAGGGTTCTCTCCCTTAGATCACTATGGTCACATATGCCTTCCTTTCTTCAAACTGAAGTTTGGGTTCATAAACACAACTAATAATAGCTCACATGAAAGGGGTAAAATCTGCTTTTAATGCCTATGAAAGACAAGAGCAGTAGAAAGATAAAATCTGACTTGAAGTGTGACACTTTAGGGTATAGAGCTACTGATGGGGCTGATCAAACCAAGTGTCAAGGCTTGGAAAATAGAGCATATTTTGAGGTTTAAGTGTACGTAGAGCATAATTATGGATTACCATCAGTACTATTCCAGTTGTGAAATAATCCTAATTGTTGCTCCATGTTGAAAAGATGGCATTTTTGTCTTGTCACATGTTGAGCAATGGAAACATGTGATGGATATAGACAATACTGTACAAGCATGTGTGTCATACTGATTTTATGACTCCGATGTCAGAATTATTGTATTTACCTTGTGAAAACGACATGAATTTTGGACATGACTGTGAAATCAGTATGTAATGGATGTGAGTGTAATAAATTCTTTATTACCCATTTTTAAACCTTTGAGCTCCCCTTTAGAAAATTGCACATCAGAAAAAAACCCATTTAAACATTAAAAGTTAAATATGTAAATGGTGGTAATTTCATGCATTAAGCAAAATCAACTTTTGAAGCACATGCTGAGTAAATATTTAGAGTATGGAAGAAGTTGTTTTGGATAAGAAACTTCTTTTTTACAAGTACTTTGTTTTTCCATGAGAACGTGTTATCTGTTTATCACAGGTTACATTATCTTAAAACAGGCTACTTTATGTTGGTAGCCAATTCTTAGTGTGATATCTTCTTGTATCTTAACTGGTCACTCTCTATAGACTAGTACATAAGATACGAGTTGTTTTTCACTCGCTAACATCTCACGAGTTGACCAATTTCTACAGGAGAGAACCCACTGTAAAAACCTGCAAGTCAGCACTTCTAATATGGATGAATTCTGTGGCCAGGAGTGGCGGATCGAGACAGACATTTCACTCACAATCTTGTGAATTTCATCGTCATCGCTTGATGTGGCCAAGTTGTTGAAATCGTGTTGTGTTGTTTATGCATTGTAAATACTGGGGTAGGAATACATTATGACAATATTTGAATTCATTTCAAATCTGGAGAGAATGGGTCTATGTAGGCATGTTGTTTACTGTTATTTACATGCTTTGCAAGTATTGTTGTACATAGTCATACATTGTATGTTTCACACAGTGTCGAGCTGTTTGGATTATGTTTTATAATCCTGTGTAGTAAAATAGGTTCAGAGGCCTGCCTGAACTTTCCTATGTCTTGCCAGTTTTGTTTTAAGAATTCTTTGGTGTTTTCACAGGAGAGAGCAAGTAATACTTGTTAGGCTGTATGAAAACAATAAATGTTTCTCAGATGGGCAGTGGGGTATCCAGGTTGTTAAGCATCATGCCAAAGACCCAGGTTCGATTCCCCACATGGGTACAATGTGTGAAGCTTATTTCTGGTGTCCCCCACCGAGAAATTGCTGGAATATTGCTAAACGCCCCGTAAAAGTAAACTCACTCACTCACTCAAACACATTTTTCTGTAATGTTAGGAAGAGGCAGGACTTCAACAAATGTTTTTATATTAAAACCTCAGTTGATGAGTGAGGAGCACTTTTATCGTTTCCCGCCAAAAATACCAGCAAACACAACTGGGCATGAATTGAACTAGGCTCTAGGCTACAACATCAGAATGAAGTGGGGAATGTTTTTATTGGTAATAATGACTAATACAGAAATTAGCATCACCTGAGGCCAGAGAAACGTTTATTTTTTTCGTTTAGCCTTATAATTCTTATTAAGATCACGTGATATAACTGACAAGTTGAAATTAGTGTGCAATGAAATATACTACTCACAGAAGTTAAAGAACATCCATTTCCTTCATATTATAACAGTTATACTGTGTTCTTTAAAATATTTTGAGTAGTATACAAAGTCATCCCCAGGAAATTATCATTTTCAGCCCCTTTGGAATGTCAGAAGGGACAGCTTACAGTCTTTTGTGTCTATTTGAAGGAGTGGGGTTCTTTATCGATGGACATGTTTTCTCCAAAGGAGTAAGAAAGCATAAATCAAATGACCAGTTTGCTGATTTAGGTTATCCTTGTTAAATAGTCCTGCTTTGTATAGCTTGTCTTTCAGGTGTCGGTAATGCAGACAGTAGGCTTGCAGTTGTGTTCTCAGCCAGCTGTCTAACCCACTCAGCCAACGCTGCTTCCCAAGCTGGAGATGGTTGGGCTTACGGAAGCTGCAGTGGGTTAGACAGCTGGCTTTGTGTGCTGGCGATTGAGTGAGTGACTCTGAGGGTGTGGGTTCGAATCCCGGATGGGACTCAATCCAACAAAAGTACTAGAATCCGTACTTTACTGAGAAAGTGTAATCCCAAATATACGTGCTACATTTGACCACTATCTAAATGTCATCACATATTCAGTTGTGTTCTTCACAAATCATTATGTTATGGGACTTTGATAGAGAGTTGCTTGCCTTGGCATGCCAGGATTTGCTAACCGAATCCCTTTGTCATCCTTGATAAATATTCTTGGTCTTTTAACCTCATCTTCATAATCATAGGTGGTCAGTGTTTTGTCCCCACAGCACAATGGGCTTTCTCCGCATTAATGATGTGCCATGGTATAAGTGAAATGAAGTTCACATCGGACTTGATCCCAATGTCCTCACTACTGCACAATAATGATTGCGTGCAGGATTAAAATCTGAAATAGTACAATCTTTTTCTTTTGATGTAGGTATGTCAGGGCTCGATTTAGTGCTTTGTTACTTGCACTGGTGCAACCCAAGATTACTAAGTGCAACCTAGTTATTAGTCTAACTTGCACCAGGAGCAAATCAATTTTTGAGTGGGTATACATCTGAATAAAACATCTAAATAATTCAATAGCATATTTCTGATATTTCATATTGCACTAAAAACAGTGCAACTGGAATTTGACTGGTGCAACTAGGTTTTCATCTTAGGTTGCACCTGGTGCAAGTGGGTTAACATCTCTTAAATCGAGCCCTGTATGTTCTTGGCAGTTCTTGCAACATGAGCACTAAAACAGTAAATATGGAATTTTTTTAATCTTCCCCAACCAGTTAATATGGTTTAGTTTGTGCTTTCTTTACCTTTTGTCTTCCATTTTGAAAATGTTTTAATATTTTGAGTTAATACTTTTCGCCAGAATAGCAGTTTTAACTGAATATAGATTTAACACTCAGTTACTGAGCATTCAATATGTTTTGGAGGTCTTGTTTTGAGAAAATCTTTCTCAGTTCTTCACATTTCATGTTTTGGAGGGTTTTTCATGACATGACGGGAATAAAATTAATAATTATTTTCAGGGTATAAGTAGAAGAATCAGAGGCAATTGTTTTAATGATATAACGTTCCTTGTGAAAAGTCTCATTGTTTATCAAATGTATATTAATGCTCACATATATATTGGTTCAAATTAGCCTTGAGTAGTACACTCACGTCCAGTACTTCACATATAATCTTGTAAATATATAAATATTCTTTGTTGAACATTTTGGGGGATGTAGCCAGCGCTAGGTGATGTTATTCATGGTTTTCATGGTTATTACGATGTATCTTTGATGCAGGTTACCTTTGATATGCTTCTAAGCGTTAGGTAAATATATTTTTCTCTTGTTGCATTTCAAATGTGAAGTTTAATTTGTCAAATCCAAGATAATCAGATTTTTACTGTTGATAAGAAAATGTTATTTTACTTATCTGTTCGAGTGAACACCATCTTGATGGAGAACACAAGAACTGTGAGCAGCATGGATGGAACATATTCCTAACTTATTCAAACCTGTAATGAGCTTGTATAATGAGATGGGAAAGGGTTTGTTGATCGATACTACCATCCTAATAACAAATGATTATTTGATATTATTTCTATAGCCGTCCATGAAAGATATTGTGGGTTGTATTACTGGTGATGAACTAGTTTTAAAATGTAAAAATAAAATATAAATATTATTTTCTTCTTTGTTTTTGGATAAAGAAAGCTGCATGCACTTAGTTCTCATTCTTTTCGTGTTGAAGTATTGCCAAAAATAGAAGAATGATATCATGTTGTTTGTACAGTGTCAGAAGCTGATGTAACTTTTACCACTGAAATTACACAGAAGTCTCTGATTTTGCTAATATATTTTACATCAGTTTGTTCATATGTGTCAAATTGCATTTATCATTTGTTTGACAGGCGCTTATAAATGTTATTGTTCGAATTTATTCACTAGTCAAGTAAACTGTGATGTTATTTTGGGTCGACACAACTGAGAATGGGTATTAACATCAACTTAGTGATAGGGAAGGTAGGGGTATGTGAAATCCCAGACGTCAGATTCCATGTATTGAGACTCTTTAGTTCATGTGAATATTTCATTTCATGTTTTGTCAAGGTTCTTCTGTGCGTTAAAGGAAAGATAAGGATTGTTTCTATTTATTTAACTTTAGCACTTGTCAATCCATGAAAGAAAATCTCACGCTCAACCTAACTTGTTTGGTGTGGTGGGGTAGCCTCTCGTCATGGCAAAGGAATGGTTTGGCTTGTACAATGTGTTAAGCCTATTTCTGGTATCTGGTGACATTGTTGTTATCTTACTAAGAGTGGCGTAAAACCCAACTCACTCGTTTGAACTGTAGGGTGAACTGGTTGGACATTCTTTATATCTCCATGGATTGCATTTCAGTAAACGAACACTACCCTCTGGATCCATTCCTGTGGTTTTTGCAGTCTCAAATTACCTACCCTTGATTTCCATTTGCGTATTTGATTGGCCATACTACAGGCCTAACATACTCATCAGAATGTTTGTTCAAAAAAACCTCAGTTATAGGTTGGCAACAACCACAAAAAGCAACCAGTTCCATTGCTAATGATCAAGTTTGCAAAAAAAAATTTTAAAAATAAATTTTGAAAAACTGACTGACATGCAAAGAAAAGGAGGTCTTCATGTGCATTGAAACTGGTAGTGGGTTTGATTGCTAGTTAACATGAGTTACCTCCCTTATGTTTGATTGGTTGGTTTAATGTCAGTGAAAACCAGGGTCAGGTAATTTGTGATGGCACGATCCATGGGTTGGTGAGGGTGAAGTGAGAACCCTGGAGATAAAAAAGGATGAAGGACTTCTGTAACTTAAAGGTTTTGTTTCTTGTGTTGCGCTGTAGGCTGTTTTCTGATCTACCTTGTGTCAAAGGCATCCACCTCGGGGCTCCAACTGTACATATATACATGCATCATCCTCGATGGGAACTTGCAGAAATATACATATAAAAATATGAATAAAAAATCATTTATTTCAGTCTCTTGTCCTTCCTTTTTGTGGCTACTTTCCCCGACTCCCATTCATGTTCGGATGAGTTGGTCCGAAATACTTGGTTTTCATGCAAACAAAACCAACGCCATCAGTCTCTAATACATTGTATTTTATTTTCATTTGTTACTTAGACAGATGTACAATTATCTCAAAACAATATTGAACACTGATTAACAGATGACCTAGACACTGAGACAGACAGTGATGGTGGTTGACGGGGAGACGGCCCCTCGCTTCTTATGTGTGTGCCACAACTAGTGTACCACTCAACTGTTGGTAGGGAGGCTTCACACTTGTCAACTCAGATGACGACAACCCTATTTAAATGTGTCATGTTAAGCTTGAAATGAAACTGATCAGTGTGATTAACTCAAAACAGCCAGTAAGTCCTAAAATGGGACGTCCCTATCAAAAGTTGAATGGTATCATTTCACAGAACAGTGTTGTGAGGATACACTTCTACAACTTGTTTCACAGATGTTCCTATAATAATACTCTGGGTCCCAATATTTCAAGTCAATGATCGGTTTGTAAAAACTTGAATAAAAACATTATACGATTGTATTTTCAAAACTTTTTACCTTTGCATTTATCTTATAAAAAGTCAACTGCTTCTTATAGCATAATGTTTAATGTAGCCAACTACAGGGATTAAACTGTTGCTTTTGGACCTAATCTATACAGGGACCAGTTCAAAAGTTGATGGCAGATAAATATTGTCCAACTAAATGTGTGAGTGAGTGAATTTATGTTTATGCCGCTTTTAGCAATATTCCAGCAATATCACGGCAGGGGACACCAGAAATGGGCTTCACACGTGGGGAATCGAACCCATGTCTTCGCCGTGAAGAGCGAACGCTTTAACCACTAGCCTACCCCACCACCATTAGTAAATGAACTTCAGTAAATAAATACTTGACAATAGGTCACCAAACCAGAAATTCTATTTCAGAAAGCATTTTAATGGGTGGGGGACGGGGTTCAGTCTTATATAACTTTTGCTCTGTCCCACCTAGCACCTACTTGACAATGCTACATCTGTTTCACAGTAAGAAGTGAGGGGTTACTCCCTCCCTTGTTTCATGTTTTCTTCACCTCTGCTTTCTAAACACCAAGTTTGGATATGCTGTTATTTTGAATGTATTCTGCGAAGACATGCATCTCATAAGGAACAAACAGCTTGCACAGTTTCACGACTGTTGTAAAAATTGCTTTATGTTTATGAAAATATGTCCAACAAATCAGAACCATATAGTACTGACATATGAAAGAGAAATCATGCGGAGACCAGACCAATTTTATTTCTTGTTTTGCGGATCCGCCGGTTGTATTTTTTTCAATATTAAGAAAAAAAATATAAAAATTAATTTTCCCCGCTCAAAAATAAAATTTTAATATTTCTATAGGCCAAAAATGTAATTGTGCAAGAAAATGTTTTTAGATTGTTCTTTCCCCCATATACACTTCATATATTGTCAAAAGTAAAATACTTTAGTATTTAAAAGGAATATTGGTTTGGTGATTTTTGATTTTTATTATTTTTTCCTCCTGCCTTTAGGATTTCTGAGGACAAAAATCCGTAAAACAAAAATAGAATTGGTCTGGCCTGAATATGAATTTCATATTTTACAAAAAAAGAATGGCTCATAGAATTTCTTATAAAGGAATAAGCTGATATTAAACAGAATAGGAAGATTTTGGAGTTTGTTTATCAATGATCCATGATTATAAACCAGCCATGGTTACCAAAACCACTAAGAATAAATCACAATGTAGAAGATCCAGCTGAAAATTCTAATGCTGGGACTCAAATTATTTTCTTTAGGACAAAACATTAGCACCAAAATGGATTGGTTGGGCCTTGGTAACATGAATGAAGATTCTTTTGGATGACAGGCATTCAAACAGCTGTGGTGACATTGAAGAGGACAGCGTATGTTTATCAGACAGAAGATTACGAAGTCCAAGTTAAACATGCATACACTTTCATCATGTATGGCACATAAAATCTGAAACTGGTACGTCTTTCTCGCCGGGAGACACAACACTACGCTACATTAAGATTGGAGTATGAATCCTGATTTTCACTTCTGCTAGGGTTCGGCCATTGCAGTATGACCAGTTTGTAGGTCGGTAGCATCGGACAAGGAACATCGAGAGTGCATATTGCCTGCTGTATCATGGGTAGAACTACACTACACACGTAATGTGCTGCCTAAATACCAGAGCAATGGTCATCCTGCTGAATAACAATATGCACCATTTTGTCAAGATTAGAAAATCTTGTCGGAAATCATTTTAACAGAGACAGTCCCCCTTAATATTGTTCAAAATTATGTAAGGATAAAATCAAGCACCAAAAAAATTCAGGAAAAATTTAAATTGATGTTCTTGTGAAATATGTGAAACCGCATCACACTTGATTTTTAACAGTGAACTCAGAATACGAAATCAGCATCAATAGGGGGAAGAAGTATTTAAAAATTTGAAACTTCACCGTTCTTATTGATCCTACGGAACTAATGATAATGTTTAAATTAGCTCTATTGTTGCTGTCAGGACTGAAAACCTGATGCAACCAGTCACTTGAGAGTCAATTAGTGAAAATAAAGGTCACGGTCTCATTCAGTGTATTATATCCTGTGTTATAACGATATTAGCATCAAACAATACTGAGAAAATGATGGAATTCAGATAGAATAAATTGATATTGTTATTAGGATAGAACACATTGCCGTTTGGCTTACAAAAGTGGATTTCGTACACACTGCGTCATTGAGTTGGATTTCAGGAGCTGTGGATGATGACTATTGAACTTTCTTTCAGTCATGTGAATGAGTGAGTGAGTTTGGTTTTATGCCGCTTTAGCAATATTCCAGCAATATAACGGCAGGGACACCAGAAATGGGCTTCACACATTGTACCCATGTGGGGAATCAAACCCGGGTGTACAGCATGACGAGCGAACGCTTTAACCACTAGGCTACCCCACCGCCAACTTTCAGTTATTTATAACACATCTGCTTCATGTGGAAAGAGAGCTCAAAGTGACATCACTTGTAGATGTGTACCACATTCAGGAAAGTGACAGTTGAGATGTCAAGCTGACCATAGATCATAATCTAGCAATATTTTGGATTCAGCAGGGATTATAATCCAAGAGAATCTAGGATTCAGCTGAGGTTGTAATCAGGACATATTAACCATATCCTAACATGGTCAAGAGACATAACTCTGGTAAATGATGACAAATTGGTACAAGAAAAAAATTCAAATTAGACAAAGTTTCAGGTTGTTATTACTTTTTTCAGGTCTATAAAAACATGAACTGACCTCATTCAAGTCAGTAGTTGTATATTATATAATGCAAAGTCATCGAACTATGTTAACAATAACATTAAGAGGTTCCAACAAACGGAGTCATCTAATTGGTTGAAGTTTGGGGAATATCATTTCTGGATAATTCACTTTCTATTTTCACTCGGTACCTCATATAATCAGACCTGACTCTTATCCAATGTATTTCCCATTAGAATAACCAAACCACCGTGAATATGGCTAAAAACTTTGCAATTTATTTTTAATAAAAATGGTTCATGGTTTGTCTGTTGATGAAACTAAGATCTGACTGTCCCAAAAATAGACACATAATACACCCACAACTGTGTTGAAAAATACTTGATAAGGTTCAAACTTCGAGTCTCCATGAGAAAGTTCTGGTATGCGTCAGTGCGTCTGAAAGATGTGATTTCACAATTTGTTAAAGAGACCAGACACTGAACAGATCATCACTGTGTCTGACAAATAAATTATGAAAGCAAATGGAAGATGTCAACCCTGGGACATTGCTGGAGAATTGGCAGTTTTACAGCTCTTCAACATTTGATTCAAAATGCAATTGCTGGGTAACCATTTTACTCTGTTCTGGAAACAGCCTGTTAATTAATTACTGAATCATATTCTTCAATCATTTATGAAATGCACTGATATTCTTCAAATCTGGCTCGGCAGCGTCTATCCGAATTTAATTTGATCATGTTTGATCTTGAAAGAAAAACTTTGATCACTCCTCGACAGAATGGTGCATATCGTTCCTCAGACATTTCCACTTCTGCACAAAATGCTGGTTTCATCGCAATCACATGTTAAACTAATTTCAAGCAACATTGAACATGTAATGCAGCATGGTTTCGGCAGCTAGTATCTGTCAAATATCTAGGCTATTTTATACATGTGATCCGTAGTTATTTACTGTACAAAATATATATATCATATGTATATTTATTTCAATATATACAGCTACTGGGCCCTGTACTCTGTACATCTTGGGATGGTCCTGAAAACTTCAACCATCTGTACCATTCATAAGAAAATCTTTCAAGTTGCTCACCCAACTGTTTGCACCACTGCTGAACAAGGGAGATAATCGGTACTTCTAAATGTCATGTAAAGAAGTTGCAGATATCTATATCGACCACTGATAAACGCAGCAACAGATTCCATCAGGTCATTGGGCTAATGGATTTCATAAAAAACGATCCAAATCTCCAGAGAACAAATCGGCCATCATTCAGGATTTTTAGTAATTAATTAAATATCCGTTCACAGGAGGTAAACGACAAGAATGAGAAGCCTGAGAATCATATTGAGCTTCTTGATGGATTATTTCTATTATTTTCAAAGACATTTTTCAAACTAAATATGCTGTATCGACATGATTTCTTTCAGCGGCTGCTTTTTCAGAAGTCTTTGTTTTTTGTATCTCTATCTGTATCGGGTTGATGTTATTCAGTCAACTCAATGGCGGACCAGAGTTCAGATGAAATGAACCGCCATGGTAAGACAAGTACATTAAATACAATAAAATAATCTTGTGTATATCCGTTTTTTATGAAAGAAAATATTTATATCTGAGAGTACAGAGTTACCTTCAGTTATGTCTGTCATACCTTAGTGAGTGAGTTTAGCTTTACGCCGCACTCAGAAATGTTCCAGCTATATGGCGGCGGTCTGTCTGTCATACCTTAACGCACATGGGATATCATAATTGTGAATTGCTGCATTTTATAAATGTATGTATTATTAATATTATTATACCTCGTATAATAGAATATGGATATACAACGTATATATTATTAATGTAAGCGATGTTTCGCTGTAGATGCTAACAGCATTATCAAGCAAAAGATACTTCCTTGTTAGGATCTTCACCGAAATGTCACTTTCATTCATAAAAAGGATGTATATCCATAAAAACATTTCCCAAAACATTCTCTAAATGCCACTCAAAGAATTTATTGGAAATATTCTTGAATATGAACTTTCTTAATCTCCACAGAATGGATGGAAACTTTCAGCTATAAAAATGGTTCAATGTCTAAATGATGATCTTTATCATAGTTCAGGAGAACACGAACCCATGGTCAGTTCAAAATATCAGAGACACGCATGAAAGCAAATTGCAGCACTTCTCATTTATCCTTTTGAACGTTTCAAAGCTGATGACAATTTATTTCCACATTTCAGCAGAATCAAAGCACTGATATCAGAATCGATTTCCACTGTATAAAGTCATAATAATAAATCAATATTCATCTACAGAAGTCCACTATATTTGCTATTTTGTAAACTTTCATATAAAATCGTATTACCCTCTCCAAATGATTGTCCAGATTCCACAAAAATCCTTTTTATGTCCCTTCTTTGTAAAAAGCAAATCCTATTACAGTTATTCAGATAGATGTCCAAGCAATAAAACGATTACTGTCCATTTGTAATTGTGACCCTCCTGAAAGGTCAATTATATTTTTATATTCCTCCCCAAACACTGTCACGTTCTTTCAATAACTTCCCTTGAATTCCACACAATACATGTATGTACTAAAGGTTAATAATCAGGTATCAAAACCCTTTTTGATAATATGCTAAATAAGGATAATACTATTTCCCCGAAACTCACTCCTACTGTATAATATATGATTACATTGCAAACTACAAATAATATTGGCCACATTAGTGGGCTATTAAATAAATATATTGCTATTTACACCCTAGAAATAAAACATAAATATTATGACCATACACCATATAAATTATAAATAAAGTCACACTTTTTTTTCATATGAAAATGAGTTGTCCATTCATGCACTGATAAGCTATCACACATTACAGATATTTTGGCAAACTAAAAGCTGAAATTACAGTGTACAAAGTCTAACATCAGATTAATCCTGTCAAAGGTTGTATGTTTTTTAACCACTTACATAAATAATAAATATATTTTTTGTATACTGCTTGAAAACAAAATGAATGACAGGTCACGTAGACTCAACACTTACGATGGTATCTGTATGGCAATATGAATTAATAATGAATCCCAAATGTAAACAAAAGTTCTTAAAAGTCTCAGTACAGAAATGTTAAAACATTGGTTAGGAAAATATTACATGTACATGGAGGAATACATGATAAATAATAAAAATATATTAGCGGTTATTTACATATTTTAAAAGGCATTCCAATGAACATATCAATTACGGAAGAATTAATATGTATTAAAACATGTAAACTGGCATCATAAGAGGAAAGGGGGAAAAAATTGCTGAAATTAATTGTTAAAGTGACCAAAGAGTCAATCATACCTTCTTTGAAATCCAGGAGCATATGTTCGTCTCACCTCCCTGAAGGGATGGGTAACACGAACTCATGATTAACAACAAACAGATGTGCCACAGAATTTCTGCTTTGAAAAATAGTTAGGTCATAATATGCCTTGTCGGACTTTAAAATACCTTAAATATCAGGCGCATAGCAAGACATTTTTTTCATGTAAGCCTGATAGGTTGCCAAGCTATATACTTAGATACCATCCTTCGACTAGCAGATCCTGGTAGAGCTTGGGGATGTAACTCAGCATACTCATTACAAATTATACTGCAGTACAATTACTGTTCCACTTGTGCTCTGAATAAGTTTCAGAAAATTTCAGTTATTTTCTAATGGTATGACATGAAGATTTTTAAAGACACTTTTTTTTGTCAGTGAGTGAGTGAGTTTGGTTTTATTCTGCTTTTAGCAATATTCCAGCAATATCATGGCAGGGGAGACCAGAAATGGGCTTGACACATTGTATCACAGTGGGGAATCAAACTCAGGTCTTCATTTTGATGAGTGAACACTTTAACCACTAGGCTACCCCACTGCCCTTTTATAATAATGAATCAATTTAAGGAATTGGTATTACTTTAAACTGTAATGGCCCACAATAATCTTTCATGATTTCTAAGAACGCATTGCAAAAGTAACTATGACTTGCCACAAGTTTCAAGACAGCCACAATATTCGGCATTCGGCATTCAAATGTTATCATCTCCCTGGGGAGAGTGAGACGAAAAGCACCTGGATTTCTTGCTTCATTCATAAAAGAAAAACAATTAAAGTACAATATGTACAACTAAAATGCAAACATAAAATGGTCATGGGCAAAGTATCAATATTGTAGAATATTTGTCTTTGGATTTCCGTTCCTCTTCATGTGAAACATATAATTCCAAATTCTGAAGATGCATAAGAGCACATGACAATACTTGTATTCACATCAACACAGACTCTTCCACAAAACCACGTGTTCCTGGCCTCGTCAAGAGATAATAATAAGCTTGAAGGGGAATATAACAGCTGACCATATCTCAAGGTTGTCTGGCTCTTCAGATCAGAAAATCTGTATTATCAATTACCATGTTATTGTAAATATCCATTGTGAAAATCAACATTGGAATGTAATAATCCACAGGTCCTTAAAAACTGATTCGGCTTTCAGTAAAGCATTTGATTTTCTTCATACAAAATCTACACTCAAGCAGTATGTCGCTCGACACCTACACAATCCAGGTGACAGGGCGACATGGCGACAGTTCAGCTTCCATCCCATCCTTCACCATGGACATAGTACAGAGAGCCTTACAGCACAAAAAATAGGATGATCCGATTGTGAAATCATGTTGAAGGCTGCTGGTAATGAGAGTTGTCTCCCCTCCACTAAGTGCACATCTAGGACTATATCACAATGGTAGGTGGTACTCACAGTCCATCAACACAAGTCACAGTACATAGCCACACCAACATGACTAAATCTGCTATGTTTTCCTAGTGATTAATCCTAGTATGGTATTTCCATCAGCCTTCCAAAGGAAACACACAATCTTGGAGCCACCAGCATCAAATCACCACGGAGTTATCCTCCAATGTCTGCAATGCTGCATTTCCTTTGGCAAATCAAATCCTGCAAGAGTTACCTCTCTCTGACAAGTGTGATTGGAGTGATCTCCCTTTGTGTGCATTACATTCAGAGTGATTTCCCTTTTGTCACCAAGCCTCCTGCAAGATGTTTCTCCTCTTGATGGTGAACACTGCATCAATCTTTGAGGAGGTGCCACTGCGCCACTTGTTGGCGAGGTTTGGAAACCATATCATTCCAGTGCCTTGTCTCCATCGGACCGCTGTGAGCTCCCAAAATGACTTTGCCGATCAGTTCATTTCGACCCACCTTGTCGAAATCCATTACAGAGACTTCCAGACACGTCTCACGCATTTTCTCCCATGGAATGTCAAATATAAAAGACTCGTTATATACAGGGTTGAGGGAGCGTTTCTTAATGATGGTCTTCTTCTTCTCCACCTTCGTCCCACCTTGCATCAGCCAGATCTTCACGTAGGGATCTGCACAGAAAAAGGAGACAATCACTGAGACGTACATCACAATGAATTGGCAAAGTCATATTAGGTTGAAGAAATGTTCAAGTGAGTGAGTGAGTGAGTTGAGTTTTATGCCGCACTCAGCAATATTCCAGCTATATGGCAGCGGTCTGTAAATAATCGAGCCTGGACCTGACAATCCAGTGATCAACAGCATGAGCATCGATCTGCGCAATTGGGAACCGATGACATGTGGCAACCAAGTCAGCGAGCCTGACCACCCGATCCCGTTAGTCGACTCTTATGACAAGCATGGGTTACTGAAGATCAATATTCTAACCCGGACCTTCACAGGTAGAAATGTTCAAGACATAATTGATAAGAGTCGGGATATAATGTTTCATTGCAACAATGATACATATCAATTGTTCATGGCCCTACGGTGATACATTATTGAAGATGAATGTATCAAGAGCTGACATTGGTATCACATGAGACTATTATCATTCCCTTGTTGAACCAAAACACTCAGCAAACATTAAGCTATTGATAGTTTCAATAGATGAAAACAATGAAAAACAATGACAACGGCAAATACAGCCTGATCATGAACTAGACTGTAATGAGTCACCTACAAATATTCTCTTACCATCTATTGAACCAAGGAAATGGTGGACAAGCCAGAATCCGCAGCAAACAAGTAATGTTTGTTTGTTTGTTGTTTAATGCAGCTCTCAACAAGTAACAAATTTGACTTAACAAGGCCTGGTGATGTCTAACCAGTGTAGCACATCTGATACCAAGCCCATGTTGTGCAATAAGTCAATAATATTTTGGAAGCCGTGGTGGCTGAGTGGGTTAGATGGCTGACTTTGTGTGCTGGCGATTAGGTGCCTGACTCTGAAAGTGTGGGTTTGAATCCCAGATGGGACTCAACCCAAATAAGCACTAGAATCACCTTAACTGAGAAAGTCTAATCCCAAATCTAACATATTTACATCAACAATATTTGTCCCATTATTTAAAAAATACTGTAACCTGAACTTACATGCTGTAACTTGAAAGTACACATGCACTTCAAACTGTTTTCACAATCCTTATATACAACATATCACATATGTATTATCTAATACATAATATTTGAAAGTACACATGCACTTCAAACTGTTTCCCCAATCCTCCTGTACAACATATCACATATGCATTATTTAATACATATTGTTGTTGGAAGTTCAGTTCACTGAAGTCATCTTCACTCCACTGTCCTTGACTGGAGCTGTTCCCATTAGCATGTTGGAAGTAACAGATATTTATCATTTTAACAAAATTATTCTCCTATCCACTTTCATAAATTCCAAACAAGCAGATGCAAATTTCCATTTTGGATATGTAATTGTATTTCTACCACGTCTGCCAGTAGATAACTGTATAAAAATGTTTAAAACAGATAGCATCTCGGACCAATTCTCATCCACATGCAAGGAACTTGGGAATCAGGTTGGCAAAAACTTGCAGTGCCATGAATCTTCTCTAATCTGTATCATGGGATTACACTAGTGCCTGAATGTATTTCCTGACAGATAGATCTTATCTATGCACAGTAACAAACAACTGTCTACACATTGCCATACACATGAAAACCGGACAATAAAATGTGCAAAAAAATTGAAAATCATATCGATTTTCATGGAAGCAGATTTGACAATTTGACAATTTCCAATAAAAACATCTCAAGACAAAGGCAGAATAATTTTGCAGGAAAATTACATCCTGTCTAACATTCAAGTTTAAATTGAATCAGTGTCTTTTGCCGATGGCGATGTTTTCAATTTAATGCTATCAGGCCTGAATGCTGAAGTGCAGTCCGACACTGCATGTGTTGTTTTATCAGATACCCTTGCATCATATCAAATTCGCGAAACATTTTTTTGTTCTAAATGACCTGGGTCATACAACTGATAAAATATGATGTCATAATGACAATAGTCAAGAAAGGTTCAGTTAGAGTGAGAGAGTTAATATTTAACGTCACCTCAGCAGTATTTCAGCCATATGGTTCAGTTTCAGATTCAGACGATATGCTTATCATCCCTACAAGGCTCCATGGATATGTAATTGGATTCGTCAATGCCATGAATAGGTAATTTGATTAAATGGTAAAACGTTAGAGTTTGATGCTCAAGGTTTTTGTTTTCTCCAAAATTAACATTGCAATTGGTATAAAATGTTGTGTCTTGGGTAAAGAGCTGAACCGTCTTGAGTGAAAACTACTAGATTTGATTTCTTGTTGGATACCTCACAGCAATATTCCAACACTTGAAGACTGTGTGCCAGAATGTCCAGAGATTAATGGTATGAAGACATGGTGGCACCTTGACACCGATCCTGAACATTAAATCGGCATGCTTGCTTCTCACAACCATCATTCGTGAATTAATTTAGTTTTAAGCCGCACTCAGCAATATTCCAGCTATATGGCAGTGGTCTGTAAACAATTCAGACAATCCAGTGATCAACAGCATGAGCATCGATCTGCGCATTTGGGAACCGATGACATGTGGCAACCAAGTCAGGGAGCCTGACCACCCGATCCCGTTAGTCGACTCTTATGACAAGCATGGGTTACTGAAGATCAATATTCTAACCCGGACCTTCACAGGTAGAAATGTTCAAGACATAATTGATAAGAGTTGGATATAATGTTTCATTGCAACAATGATACAACCATCATTAGGGGCGATGGAGTAGCTTAGTGGTTAAAGTGTTGGCTCTCCGTGCCGAATACCCAGGTTCAATTCCCCACATGCGTACAATGTGCGAAGCCCATTTCTGGTGTTCCCTACTATAATTTTCTTGAATATTGCTAAAAGCGGTGTAAACCCAACTCACTCACTTACTCTCACAATCATCACAACTTACTAGGGCTGGCTATTGACATAGATCACAGAGATCTATAATCATTAACTATGTATCGACTGATTATCAATAAATATCGGAGACGTATCTTTAAGCAAAAATCTATGAAAGAGATGAATATATTTCACATCACTGGTGAATGGTGACATGGTTTTACACAGATTATTAACAAAACAGCTTCCTAAATTTGTATATTGTGTGAGAAAATTAAATGTACGATATTATTGATAACACAATTTTCATATTATGATAATTAATCAATCACTTTAGGCAGCCCTACAACTTACCAGGGACACACATGGCCTCGTTGTCTTCAGTACCACAATTTTCTATGCAAAGTTGTGTCCCTTAGGGGTGCCAGGATCTTATGATTGTAGGTTCAAATCCAGTTTCTATTTAAACCAAAATCTTCTATTTTCTGTCAGTATGTGGTAGAGTTGGAAGTGCAATGCTACTTTCCTCCAACCTATTTAACATATTGTGTTTACTCTTTGCAATGATGGAGTACATCTGCCTTGCATGAATGTCAACTTTTATGCATCATTTATGTACCTCTTGATGGTCCTATTGAGATACATATTATATCATGAGGAAGTGGATCAGTACATAAAAATAATCCTTTGCACGGCCTTCTGTCTTCATACAACCCAGCATACCCCGCAGAGTCAATAAAGAGAGCATATCTTCATCACATCTCCTTCAATGGGTAGATTAATCTCTTTGATTATGTGGACAAGCCGGCCATTTTCAAACCAGAAAAGCATTTAAATTCCAGAAGGCTACAGTAATTCGAAAACCTCTATTGAACGCCATCAGATGCTGCATTGTACACAGTTCAAAGATTTTGTTGAAACCAAAATATTGGCTTTCACAGGAATAATAAGGATAGTTTATCATTTTGGAATCAAAACTATTCAAATTCCACTCCAATAACATAGTCCACTCAAATGTAAAACTTTCAAAAGCCTTTATGACAGAAGTTCTGCAAAATTTCCTCATGCATTTTCAAATACCAGCACATGCTTAGAACTCATTCTAGTGAAAACGTTTACACACATCTCCAGGCTAATGGATTTTAAATTCCATCACCAAAATCTAATGCCGACATAATTCCCTATCTATGGGAACACTTAGCCATAAAACAAAGAAAGCAATCTAAAAGACAGAAAAAGAGTTCAGTATCAGTGAAAGGTCAAGGTCCATATGAATCATGGGAAATCTAGCTTAGATTTTATCGACTGTTTCTAATACGATGTTCTGCAGATGGGCTTGATCAAAGAAAAGATCTCATTCCCTATTCACTCTGTAGGGGCAGCTCTCCGCAGTTGTCTACGAAAACTAAATATTTTCATTGTTTCCGTGGTTGCACTGGACTCTCTGTCCTAACTTGGCGCACCATAGACATTACAGCCTGAATTAGTAAATATGTTTGGCTAAAACCAGAATGGTGACATAAGACGTTATGATCCTGCAAAGAAATCTGTTAAGTGTTCAAATATTGATAAAAGAAATGAAATTCACTCAAGAAGTCGATTTGGCTGAGATTGAAACTGGAAATATACTTTCTTGTGCTAGTTTGCTTATACACAAAATGCCAACAACGTCTTTCCCAATATGTGAATTTAAATTCATACCGGAAGATAAAACTTTACTTATATACCAAGTTTTAAATCTGGGTTAGAATTGGTCTTCAGTAACCCATGCTTGTTGTAAGAGGTGACTGATGGGATCGGGGTGGTCAGGCTCCTGACTTGGTGGGTCGGTGGGGTAGCCTAGAGGTTAAAGCGTTCGCTCGTCATCACGCTGAAGACCCGGGTTTCGATTCCCCACATGGGTACAATGTGTGAAGCCCATTTCTGGTGTCCCCCACCGTGATATAGCTGGAATATTGTTAAAAACAGCGTAAAACTTAACTCACTCACTCCTGTTTGGGTTGGCACATGTCATCGTATCCCAATTACTTAGATAGACCAGTCCTTGTTGTACCCATTAATGCCGAGCGCCAGTGCGCCAGGCAGGAACCAACAAGTACCATGTTTTAAAGTCTTTTGGCATGACGCGGTCGGGGATCAAACCCGCGACTTTCAGCTCTCCGGGCAGACGCTCTAACCACTACACCACGGAGGCGATCAGACATGAAGTGATTGTGTAAGTGAGTAAGTGAGTGAGTTGGGTTTTACCACTTTTAGCAATATTCCAGCAATAATGATAACTACTGATGCTCATGACATCAATCACTAGGTTACCTGTCTGGACTTGACTCAATACAGACTGTCGTCATAGTGAGTGAGTTTAGTGTTACGTTGCACTCAGCAATATTCCAGCTATATGGCAGCGGTCTGTAAATAATCGAGTCTGGACCAGACAATCCAGTGATCAACAGCATAAGCATCGATCTACGCAATTGGGAACCAATGACATGTGGCAACCAAGTCAGCGAGCCTGACCACCCGATCCTGTTAGTCGCCTCTTACGACAAGCATGGGTTACTGAAGATCAATATTCTAACCCGGACCTAACCGAAACAACAAACAATGCAACTGTTCACAAATATATGAAATACAAATATATATCTACATTATCATAAAATAATTATAATGATAATATAAAAAACTTTGAAACTCAACAAAAGCTAATTCTTAATTTAAAATCAATACAATACCTCAATTATTTATACTCAAATGGATAATGGACCTAGAAAGTAGATTTTGAGATGTTAATGTCAACAGTTTTGACCTTTCCGGCAGATAATACTGATCACTATCTGTGTGAGCTAACAGCCTGGGTATTGTATATCAAAAACAAACGGGAAACCTTTAACCTTTAACACATAAAAAACTAACATTCCCCAGGAGGAAAATTCAATTTATTGACCCAAATTCACCTTCGTCTTTTCCCCAATCCTAACAGCCCAAAAGAGAAGTTGAATCCCTTCCCATTTGCTTAAAGATCAATAAAGGTACCGATTAAAGGATTTCATGTCACGACAGAGAAGCTGGTTAACTTATCACTACCATACAACTGACCAGAAAATCGGAATCGGGCTCGCCAATTAACAGATATTCAGGGTGGTATGCTCGCAAATTCCTCCTGCTATTCTGCGCATATAAACATGCCACGTCTACTTGTTTTACCGGTTCTTGGTCAGACGATTGTATTCAATTATACACCCAAAAGACAATAGCGCTGGTTTGGAATCGGACAACTTTTCCTATTATGTGGATCGTATCGATCTTTGGGCAAACTGTTTTATTGCATTAACAGGGAAAAGATATTGTGTTTGTGTTTGGATCTTTGGACGATATTGTTTGATCTGATGGGTCAATATTGATCTTATATTTCTCTGATACCTTTTTATATTCAGGTTATTTTGTCTTGGATGGAGTCTCGTGTGACACACTAATCCACATTAACCCTGTCATGACCAGGGGCAGATAATTGATCTGTGACAATTCAATTTCATCTCTATTGATTCGTGATAAAGCAGGATGTAGGGCAAGTTTAAGAGGTCAGATCTGATGTTTGCAAGTTGGAACATGTATTGAAATTCATTATTGTATGAACACTATCAACACAATGGAAACATATAACATATTCACACATTTCTGATAATGGATACGGATGCTAATGGATGTTCCTGTTTGGTTACTGGTTCTACTGATGTCATTGTGAGGACGTTGGACTATGAATTGTGAATACACAATTTCATTTGGAAAGTTGTCAAATGTGATGGGTGGTATATTTAGGATTACCCTTTATCTGTAAAGTACAGATTCTAGTACTTTTATTTTGGTTTGAGTCTTGGATTCTTAGAGTCAGGCACTTAACTGCTGACTTTGTGAGCTGATTATTAGGACTCTGACTGAGTTACTGGTATATCTCTTGCAGAGAAAGTGTAACAATATGTAAGCAGAAAAACTGGTTCCTGTATTTGAGGTGGGTAGCCTTTACGTGTACCAGTGCTTCTGCAAGTATCATTTGATAAATCTATTTATAGCCAACAGGTGTGTTGAGCATGCCCTTTTGTTTAACATCTGATGTCTCTGTATGAACAATGAACAGACATGGTTTGGGATATTCAAATAAAAATGAGAGAAAATGCAAAACATTAGAAATAGGACCTGGCATTTGATATTACAATGCCAACACAATGTTAACAACATTGCAAAATGAATTACAAAATCATACACCTTTCATACAGGCATTATTTAAAAACTAGGCTATTCTGTCTATTGGGGGCAATTTGGGTTACTCTGATGTTGCTGATGTGGCCTTAGGGGAAACTAGACCGCAGAAATTCTGCAACTGCTAAAACTTATGTGCCCATGCGAGAGACATTGAAATGAGGAGTGGCCACAATGAACAATTCTTCAATCCTAATTCCTGCAGTGCCCGACAATGATGCTGAACACCACCGTCTTCATCAAACCATCAATCAACAAGTTTTCAATAGATGATGATGAATAACCTTGGAAGGACCTACCAATCATTATAATGACGTTCTCGAGGTAATAAGGAACCAATCTTGTTTTGAACACATCTGGACTTGTTAAATCTTGTGAAACAGTTTCTCACGATCATCTTTCGTTGATTTGCCTACTTGTCAGTGTTGAGCATCTCAAGCTGATTGTGAGAGTATTATACTTGACAAGTGACAAAAATTTTGTAATCATCTGAATTGCCATGTGACATTTCCTCTAGCACAAAAAATGTTTAATAACTTCAGGTTCTGACAGGTTGAGGGAACAGCCCAAGGGAGTTTCAATCCATTATTTTATCAATCATTATCGACCCGTGAAGATACAGGTTAGAATTGGTCTTAAGCAACCCATGATTATCATAAGAGGTCACAAACAAGATCAGGTGGTCAGGATCGCTGACTTGGTTGAAGCAGGTCATCGTATCCAAATTGTGAACATTGACGTTCATGACGTCAGTCACTAGATTGTCTGGTTTAGACTCGATTATTTACAGACTGCCATAGAATAACTTGAAAACTGCTGAGGGCAAGAAACAAAAAAGAAAAATCAATCATTTTCATCAATCAATCATTTAGTTATTTTCCTTGTCGTTACGGGTTATTCATTCCCTTACTGACAACTTATCATGGATGATTACAGAACACGCACATGATGTCCCCATTCCTCATCACTATGGGTTTTAACTTTGACATTATGGGGATGTGAAAATGAATAAAAAACATATAAATGAATAATTTTAAAGATAGAGGCTCCGTATTTGACCTGTTTTTATAGATCTGAATATTATAGATCATGTAGTTTTTGTTATTAGAAGCCACACATGCCAAATAAACAAAATGGGAATGAGAATGAGAAAATTGGAAAAAATACAATCTTTTAAATCAACAACACTTCTGCAGCTTAGGTGTCTGGGTCATGTAGTTGAACACAGCATGTGTCATATGTCATATTTGGGATTACTCTTTCTCAGTGAAGTACAGATTCTTGTACTTTAAGGTTATATCCCATCCAGGATTTCAACCCCCACTCTCAGAGTGAGGAACTTAATCATAACCACACAGTCAACAATCTAACCCACTCAGCCATTGGCTTCTACAAATGGAAATCTTAAAACTGGTAGTCTAGATAATGTACACAGTGTACCCCTCTGACAAGTATAAATTGGCACTGCTCCCATGGACAAATTAAGCTATGAGTGAGTGAGTTTAGTTTTACGCCGAACTCAGCAATATTCCAGCTATAGGGCAGTGGGCGGTAAATAATCGAGTCTGGACCAGACAATCCAGTGATCAACATCATGAGCATCGATCTGCGCGATTGGGAACTGATAACAAGTGTCAACCAAGTCAGCAAGCCTGACCACCCGATCCCATTAGTCGCCTCTTACGACAAGCATAGACGCCTTTTGTGGCAAGCATGGGTTGCTGAAGATCTATTCTACCCCGGATCTTCATGGGTCTCTACCCTGGATCTTCATGGGCCAAATTAAGCTATGAATACACAAAGGTATTTAGAAAGTGGTCAAATGTGACATGTGCTATATTGGGATTACACTTTCTTTGTAAAGCACAGATTCTAGGGGGATTAGGTGCCTGATTCTGTGGATTTGAATCCCAGATTTGACTCAACCAATCTAGCACACACATTGTACATTTAAAATAGAGTCCATTTCTCCCCCAGAAAAAAACTGATGCGTTTCTACATGTATAACTGACTGACTGAGTTTGGTTTTACGCGCTTTTAGCAATATTCCAGCAACATCACGCAAGGGGGACACTAGAAATGGGCTTCACACATTGAGTCCATGTGGAGATTCGAACCCGGTCTTCGGTGACAAGCCAACGCTTTAACCATTAGGCTACCCTGACCGCGTTTCTACATGTATAACTCATGCATGGTTGCCACATTGAAACACTTATTAGTTAGTTAATAAATATCGATACAGTATAGACCGAAATGGTCGAAATGGGTGCTGTTGTGGCAATTTTCAAAATCAGACGAAACAACACAAACATTTCATTCAACCTGTGTAACTGTTTAAGACTTTTTTCCCATTATAGGTTCCGCATTGACCTGGTTTTCTCCTTTTTCACATGATCATAGGTACAGATTCAAAATTCCTGCACGATATATTCCACTTAAAATCAAAACGTTTGATAATACTATTTCATTCATCATGTTCATTTTCTGAAGGATAAAATGTTGTTCAGATAAGCATTTTCTTCGATTACTTAGATTGGTATATGAATATTCATCAGTTCTGTAGCACGACGTGCATTTAACCAGCTTATCAATACATTACATCTCCATTGACCCCCCATTAGATAGGGTCTTGTCTGGTCAGCGAGTGTCTGTCCTCTACTGACCTGAACTCCCGGTGATGTCCTTGATCTTCAGGTCCCTGGCCTTCATGATGACGATGGTGAGACGACCGATGTTGGGCTGGTAACAGAGGGACACCAGGAGCTCGCCTAGCTTGCCCTGACAACAAATACCACCACATCAGGGCATGTCTTAGAGAAACAGCATTCACAGCAGGGCATGTCTTAGATAATTAACACTCACATCAGGGCATGTCTTAGATAATTAACACTCACATCAGGGCATGTCTTAGATAAATAATGACCACAACAGGGCATGTCTTAGAGAAATAGCAGTCACAGCAGGGCATGTCTTAGATAATTAACACTCACATCAGGGCATGTCTTAGATAAATAATGACCACAACAGGGCATGTCTTAGAGAAATAGCAGTCACAGCAGGGCATGTCTTAGATAATTAACACTCACATCAGGGCATGTCTTAGATAAATAATGACCACAACAGGGCATGTCTTAGAGAAATAGCAGTCACAGCAGGGCATGTCTTAGAGAAACAGCATTCACATCAGGGCATGTCTTAGAGAAATGACACCACATCCGGGCATGTCTTAGCGAAATAGCATTAACACCAGGGCATGTCTTAGAGAAATAGCAATCACATCTGGTCTTTACTTAGTCACGTTCACCCTTCTTCGATAAACATCTTACATATCAGTGTTATTTTTAAATGAATAACTCACATCACTGCTCTAGGTTAATAACAGTCATGTTATTGCATTTCTTACATACGGAACAGTAGAGTCACTGCCTTTCTTGGGAAAATAACTGTAAAATCAGTACCTTTCTTAGATAAATAACTGTAAAATCAGTACCTTTCTTAGATAAATAACTGTAAAATCAGTACCTTTCTTTGAAAAATAACTATAAAGTCAGTATATTTCTTAGACAAATAACTGTAAAATCAGTACCTTTCTTAGATAAATAACTGTAAAATCAGTACCTTTCTTAGATAAATAACTATAAAATCAGTACTTATCTTAGAGAAATAACTTTCATAAATAACAGTCAAGTCAGTGCCTTTTCATGAAAATATAACTGTAATGTCAGTACCTTTCTTAGATAAATAACAGTTTCATCAATGCCTTGTGTAGATCAATAACAGTCTTGTTTAGATTACTAACAGATATGTCAATGCATTTCTCAGATGAACAACACATCCCTGCCTTCAGGTCACTGAACAGAAAAGACATGAAACAAATATGTTTGGTACATTGTACAAATATCACACTGATTTGCATCAGCACAAACTCATCATAGTTTGGACTTCAGAAATAAACACACCCAAACTATCAGTATCAGTAGTTTTGCCCAGAACTGTAAGCTTCCATTATCAAATCCTAACATCTCTTTGAAACCATATCCTCTCTCTCTCAGGGCATTGATATTTTATAATTCCTTCCAGCTCGGAACTCAAACTGTCCCCACTTGCAAAATAACTTGTGAAGAACGGTTCCATCAAAAGATCAGGATTTTTTTCGTCAGTGATTAATTTCAAATATATAATATTTTTTATTTCTGTGAAAAAGCCAGTGAGTGCATTTAAACTCTTCCAGCTAATTGCTGCAGCTGATTTGAAAACTGCATGGTCGGCTTTGATGTGGAGAAAATGTTCACTGAGAATGGGAACGTGGCTCAGTGGCTGTTTGGTATCTGGACATAGATGGGAATGAGATGTGACTCTTTAATGGATGGTCTCACCTTTTTCAACATCTCATTGTGACGCTTTGTGTTGTTGAATGTGCACACTTTTCAGAAGTGTATGTTAGCAGCCAGAAGTGGTAACATATTTGATATACTTTAACTGACATGTTTCCTTGTTTGTTATGTTAACATGATAAATGATTAGATATCATCTTCATTGCATGAACAAATGTTATGAAATCATCAAGCACAGATACACCTTCATGGGAAATAAAGGCCCTTTCAGAAGATCAAATGTTGTTTTACACAGCAGTAGTCCAGCTATATTACTATGTGGAAATAAAGACGTCTCCACACAAACTAGTGGGTGATAGCATGAGTAATGATCAACTACCTAGGGCATGATGACACACTCTGAGTCAGTTCAAGAACACAGTATCTTATGTTATATATTAGTGAGGATTTACTGGGGACCAGATCTAGTCTTACAGGGGACCTACTCAAATCTTACCAGGGACCTAGTTTAGTCTTACTGGGGACCTACTAAAGTGTTACCAGGGACCTAGTTTAGTCTTACTGGGGACCTACTAAAATGTTACCAGGGACCTAGTTTAGTCTTACTGGGGACCTACTAAAATGTTACCAGGGACCTAGTTTAGTCTTACTGGGGACCTACTAAAGTGTTACCAGGGACCTAGTTTAGTCTTACTGGGGACCTACTAAAGTGTTACCAGGGACCTAGTTTAGTCCTACTGGGGACCTACTAAAGTCTAGTTTAGTCTTACTGGGGACCTACTAAAAGTGTTACCAGGGACCTAGTTTAGTCTTACTGGGGACCTACCATCCTGCCACTGGGGACCTACTAAAGAAGTGTTACCGGGACCTAGGCAAGTTTGCTGAAGACTTACTCAAGTCTGGACACCTACCTGCGGGAGACCTATCCTGCCATTAAATCAAGACACCCACATATCCTGCAGTGTAGCTAAGGTCAGTGGATGTTATCAAGACAATGACTGTAACAGTACAAGCAGCTCCAGACTTACTCTGCTGTCCTTGCAAGGCTGGAGGTACTTCCACGTCATGGTGGCGTTGGACAGATCCACGGAGTTGAGGGGAACATACGTCTCTCCGATAGGGTCATCACGGCTGAAGCGGTCATAATCGATCACCTGGAGGTACAGTGTCTTCTCCAGCAGCTTGTTGTGTGGCCAGCCTAATAGAGAAGAAATAATTGCTAAATTCTGAACAAAATGAGAGAGTGACTTAATGTTAGTCTCTGACAACAAAACATTGCTTCAACTTGTTTAAACTTTAAAAAATCGATTTTTAATAAAGATATGGACTTTCATCAGTTTTGCAAAATAGACAAGAGAAATATAACCAGACTTGGGCTTTTTACTGGCTGTAGTGCTGTTTTTTCAATGACTATCAGCAACAACAATCTGTAAAACAGGCAAAGTCCACATGTGGGATGCCCTTGGTTGATGAAGCAAAATCTGGTATCTGTTGCTGGGTCCAGTGTTACAAATTCTATGCTACTTTATTGAAAATCAGCTATTGTTGTGACACCCAATCAGTGAGTGAGTGAGTTTAGTTTTACGCTGCACTCAGCAATATTCCAACTATAGGCCGCGGTCTGTAAATAATTGTGTCTGGATCAGACAATCCAGTGATCAACAGCATGAGCATCGATCTACACAACTTGGGGTGAAACCAGTGAGCCTGACCACCCGATCCCATTAGTCAACTCTTAAGACAAGCATGGGTTACTGAAGATCAATTCTAACCCAGATCTGTATGGGTCGACACCCAATCCAGACCCTCACTTACATAGCCACCTCAATTACAAGATGTGTGAAGATCAGGGTTGGAACTGGTCAAAAGGGTTGACTAATGATAGAGGGCTGTCAGGCTCGCTGACTTAGCTGATTCAGATTATCCAATCCCAGTTGTGTAGAGCAATGCTCATGATGTTAATCACTGGATTAAGGAAAACCAAGTTCTATGGATAGTCAACTTCTTTATTGCAATGAGTGCGATGTTTCGGTGTAGGTACTAACACTGTTATCAAGCTTGATAACGGTGTCAGTACCTACACCAAAAAACATCGCGACTCACTCTGCAAAATAGCAAGCTTGATAACGAGTACCTACACCGAAACATCTCTGGTGTCAGTACTACCTACGCCGAGCAACCGCACTCACTCTGCAAAATAGCAAGCGAAAGCGGTGTCAGTACCTACACCCAAACATCGCGCTCACTCTGCAAAATAGCAAGCTTGATAACGGTGTCAGTACCTACAATCAAAACATCGCGACTCACTCTGCAAAATAGCAAACGGTTTTGATAACGGTGTCAGTACCTACACGAAACATCGCTACTCACTCTGCAAAATAGCAAGCCGGTAGCCTACGCGAAAGAGCATTGATAACGGTGTCAGTACCTACACCGAAACATCGCGACTTCACTCTGCAAAATAGCAGAAGCTTGATAACGGTGTCAGTACCTACACCGAAACATCGCGACTCACTCTGCAAAATAGCAAAGCTTTGATAACGTGTCAGTACCTACAATCAAACATCGCAAACAACGGATAACGTGTCAGACCTACACGCGAGAACACTCTGCAAAATAGCAAGCTTGATAACGGTGTCAGTACCTACACCGAAACATCGCACTCACTCTGCAAAATAGCAAGCTTGATAACGGTGTCAGTACCTACACCGAAACATCGCACTCACTCTGCAAAATAGCAAGCTTGATAACGGTGTCAGTACCTACAATCAAACATCACGCGACTTACTCTGCAAAATAGCAGCTTGATAACGGTGTCAGTACCTACAATCAAACATCGCACTCACTCTGCAAAATAGCAAAGTTTGATAACGGTGTCAGATACCTACACCGGCAAACATCGCACTCACTCTGCAAAATAGCAAGCTATAACGTGTCAGTACCTACGCCACCAAACATCGCGCACTCACTCTGCAAAATAGCAAAGCGATAACGGTGTCAGTACCTACACCAAACATCGCGACTTTCACTCTGCAAAATAGCAAGCTTGATAACGGTGTCAGTACCTACACCGAAACATCGCACTCACTCTGCAAAATAGCAAGCTTGATAACGGTGTCAGTACCTACACCGAAACATCGCACTCACTCTGCAAAATAGCAAGCTTGATAACGGTGTCAGTACCTACACCGAAACATCGCACTCACTCTGCAAAATAGCAAGCTTGATAACGGTGTCAGTACCTACACCGAAACATCGCACTCACTCTGCAAAATAGCAAGCTTGATAACGGTGTCAGTACCTACGCGAAACATCGCGACTCACTCTGCAAAATAGCAAAGCTTGATAACGTGTCGAGTACCGACTCTGCACACGCGAAACATCGCACTCACTCTGCAAAATAGCAAGCTTGATAACGGTGTCAGTACCTACACCGAGAACATCACACTTACTCTGCAAAATAGCAAGCGATAGCGTGTCAGTCAGTACCTACGAGAACATCACACTCGCTCTGCAAAATAGCAAGCTTGATAACGGTGTCAGTACCTACAATCGAGAAACATCCACACTTACTCTGCAAAATAGCAAGCTTGATAACGTGATACTCAATACATAACGGTGTCAATTACCTACACCGAAACATCGCCCTCATTGCAATAAAGAAGTTGACTATCTATAGAACTTGGTTTTCCTTCATCTATACAACTTCTAAAATGCCTCTCAAAGAAATCACTGGATTGTCTAATCTACACTTGATTATTTAGACTGAAAATTGCAGAGTGCAGCATTTAACAACAATAACAAATTAAAAAAATGAAAAACAACCAGAATTACAACTGTTGTAAGTCTGTAATAGTCCTGAGAATAGGCGTTAATATAGTAACTGCGATGAGATCACAGGTGTGTATTCCACAAAGCCATCTTAACTACGACAGTTACATGTCGATGTTGGCCTGGGAGTTAGCAAGGTGCTTAGAAACAAGTCCTTGATGCATATTCCATGAAGCCATTTCAGTTATTGCCCTAGAGCATAGAGACCAGGTCACAAATCAGTTGATGTTAAGCAGCGTTGGTCACGGAGAGTCCTTGGATAGATGACCATGTTTCGCAGCTTGACTCCTGACATGAGAGTTTCTAGGACTTCAGTCCTGCCCCACAATAAAGCACAACTGACACATGTCATCTCACCTTAGGCAAGTGAGTTTGTTAAAAATTGTCTCTGTTCACCCAGCAGAAAATGGGTACCCAGTGGGACAAGTCATATGACAATTAACCTAGCACTCACAGCTTTGGTTATCCAGGGTAATAAAGCCCATTATGTTGTATGCACTTAGAGATGCCCTTGTCACATGGAGTTCAGCGCTATATAACAATCAGGTTGCATATCCCTTTGAATTAATCCTTCTTGAAGAACTGTGTGACAATATACCTTGTTTCATACACATTGGCTGCAACACATCTTGTTATAACTGGTGGGTTCTAATATTTCTAAAACATTGATGAACGATCAGTTATCAGTATATATTTTATCACTATGTCCTGAGTTTAATGGCAACATTTATTTATGGCCATAATGACTTGCCTTACATTACAACATATCTTCCATATCAACTTCTCTATGAAATGTGTTACGAGTGAAGGTGTGATAAAGGGGTATATGACACCAATTCACTCGCACAATGGAAATGGATTACACAACAATCTGACTAATTCAGGAAGATTTATTTATACTATCCTAACAGAAGGCTGATACAAGATACCAATTTACAAATGTGGAAAGTGAAGAGGGAATTGTCTTAGATATATTATGGGCAAAGCAATATGGCATAGTCACCTCATTTTTAAATCCTTTCAAAACTGTACACCATGATTTCCTAGTTTCCATATTTGACATAGTCCCGACGTGGGTGCAAGTTTGTGAATTCACAGATGAACATTCACATCATGGGTACAACCACAACTGGCAAAAATTCCGTCCTCAAGAAACATCCCAGCTAGATCAGAATCACAGAGCTTCTCCCTATAAGCTGGCTGGCCACATTCAATTAACTGACCAAAGCTGAATTCATCAAACCCCAAGCTGTACCACTAGTTACATAACAATTTCTCGCTCAAGCGAAGGCCCCTCACCCCAAGCTAAAACTAATTACACCAAGTATACTCATCACTATCTAAAACTGTACATTATATTTGCAAAATATGTTTCATCACCCATAACAAATGTGTCTTCTGCAATAACGTTCAAAGATTAACTGAAAGCTTTTAAACTTTGAAATGATTAATATTTCGCTGGAGTCATGCAATTTTCTTTTTAATTATTTCAAACATGTGCATTTAAACAACTTTGAATCATAGGACTAAGAACTCTTTGACTGGCTTTGGGTTCCATGGAGACATCTCAACACTTGTCACTTGTCAGTGAAAGTGTAACGTACTGAGACTATTTACTTAGACTGGTTCATTATCTTCAGCCACTCAGCTCTTTGCAATTCTCTTCTGGTATAATGTTCAAAGATTAACCTAAATATATCACATTGATTGCCTGAAAAATATAAGTTTTCAAACTTTGAAATAATCAATTTCAGAGTGGAGACGTGTATTAGTCTTCTGGAAAACACTATCTGTTAATTCTTATATCTATATTTATCCAGCAATGGATCACATTCATTGCTTTGTATGAGGATATGATACATGAAGTCATCAAATAGTAATAAATATTATTTCTTTTAACAACCCGAGGCAATGTCTACATGAAAAATCTATCTGTGTTGATATTCTTATCCTTTGGATTCTGTCTGTGCTACTTAGCCCCTGACCCTGTAGAGGAGTTACACAGTTTGGTGCTGTCACGATACATACACCAGTCTCCTTACAGTGTCTATAGGCTTGATTTATCATGCAGCACTTTTGTGACAGAAGGTCAGCTTATGGTGGACGAGTCCAGATTAACTCTATGTCTCACAGCAGACAGTTGGACAGCGACAAACGCAAACTAGGGAGGGAATGAATTACTTTAAGATTTTCTTTGAACATTATTCAGTTAAAGAAAAACCCCAGAAATGTCTAAAGTGACATAGACATTTGCTACCAGAGTGACAGGGTATTGTTTTACATGGCTTTTTCAGCAATATTCCAGCAATACCAAAGGGGACATCAGAAATGGGGCTCACACACTGAACCCATGTGGAGCATCAAATC